CAGATATGGAGAATCATATTGTTCCTGTGATGCTGCTTCCGGGACAGTCCGGAGAGCCACCGGCCGTGATAGATAGGGAAATTTAAAGAATTCATAAACATAAAAATCGCATCCTCAAACTGTCTCTCGACTGCCCCTCTTCTGCTACCGGCTCAGCCGGTCTCATTGAGGGACCTGCGTGAACGTCTCCTCTTTGATAGGGAAGGCCAATGGCTCTTCAAAGGCTCTCTGTGCCCCTGATTTTCCGGACACATCCTCCAGCATGGATCCCGGCGTGCGCTCATACCCCTGCCAGCGTTCATTTTCCTCTCATCAAGCTAGTACACTACATATTCGCCGTTCGGTCTGGCTTGGCGCCCCGGCAGGCGTGTAGCCAGTTTCCCCTAGGTCACCGCGTTACACCCAGCTGCTGATTTAAGAGGAGAAACCTTTGCCAAACATTCTCCTCCTGAAATTCTGGTGTGGCTTGTTCTACACATCCACCCACCCACCCCCTCCTTCCTTCCTCCTCCTGTTTTCAAACGTGGATGAAGCAGGCACTCTGTGTTCATGTGAATTTATTGCACCGCTTCCTCCTCTCAGGAGACACTCCACGGATCTTCTGGAGATGGAGAGGAGGAGAGCCAGAGTTTTCCCAGTCTTGCGCCACGCAGGCTGGATCTGCTGAATGGCCGATTTGTGGGGGGAAAAAACGAGAACAACCTCATCCTTCGACAGAGCCTGCATGAGACCAGTGTTTGCAGAAGCCCTCGCAGTTCCTTCTTCCCATGAAAGCAGGAACAGCACAGCAAAAGAAAAGCCACTGTGTTCGTCCTAAGGTATTTTTCCTCTCTTGAAAAACCTGCTTTGCTTTGATTTAGCAAATGCTACATTTATGCTTTGGTAACCCTAGCAGGACCTGAGCAGGGCCGAGCAAAAGAAACCCCTTTGCTAGACCTCAGCTGCAGGACAAATTCAGCAGGGCCCGATTTCCTTGGTCAGAAATCAGGGCAGTGGGGCAAGGATGAGTCTGTAATGGGAGGCCTGCATTTAAACTTTGGGAAGTCCAGCAGACCCTCAACAGGTTTGGTCCAAAGAGGGCGCTTTGCAAGACCTTAGCTGCACAAAAGTTGGCCCTCGAGTCTAACTGAATGCATACAATTTTGTGGGTTTTTTTAATGAATCAAAAGTTGATATTCAAATTCTGACAGCATGTTCCTCTCTTCCGTTTACGGATTGATTGAGTAAACGGACGGAGCGAGTCAGCCCGCATTTGGCTGCGTGCCCTTTCCGAGACAGATGTCGGAGAGCGTCCGGTCTTTCTCCTCCAGTTGTGCAACAGCAATAGCTTTAGATAGAGATCTAGGAAAACATTTGCTTTCAAACTTTTGCAAGTTGGGCGGAAAGTCCGCAAGCCGATGATTCAAAAGGTGCACGTTGGCTTACGCATGTCATCTTTGATTCCGTTTATTACATGTATACCCCGCTTTCCCACGAAAAGATATTGCTCGAGGCAGCTTACGAAGTCATGCCGAGGAATTAAAAGGCATTTTTGACGGCAGCTCTCAGGTTAGCCGATGGCCCTGCCGGATGGCACCTTTTAGGGAGCTTACTGCCCAGACCATTATTTGTCCATGAAACATGGAGGGTCTTTTGGTAAACCAATGTCTGCTTAGACACGGCACGCATCCAGATCTTGCAACACAGAACACACTGTCCTTTGCAAGCTGCCACGAATGGGAGAGACCCGTTTCTAATCTTCTGGGGTTTTCACCACCTCTGGATGCAGCTGAGTCCTCCCCGGGCAGAGTCAAAAAACCCATCACTGTTCCCCCATCCCTTCCCCAGATTGTTTGGCTTTGCTTCTCCAGCCCTCCAGCTGCATATTGTGTGGAGGCAGAGTTTCCTTCCCATGGCGGTATTTGATCACAATTTAGGGTCTCCTCTGCTCTCGTTTTCTTTCTGTCTCGCATCCCCACCTCTGTTTTGCCAGAGGAAAGATGTGGGGGGAGTCGTGATCTCAGAGTTTATCCGCAATGAAGCTGGGATGAAGGAAGTTGGCGGAGACCTCCAGGCAGTGGTGGAAGGACCGGAAGGGAGGTGTTTACGCTGGTTACTCATTTTCGGACCACCTGGGTCTGTGGTCTGAACGGGAAGAGGCTTTGTTTGCTCAGGACGAAGGGATCTGGATTACATCGCTCTGGGCCCTGCTGGCCTTTTGTATGTGTGACCCCTTCTTAGAGGCTCCGTAAATGGGTCCAGAGAGAGTTTGGATCAAGGTGATCAACTAAGTCGATCTCCTAAATTTGAACCTGGGGGGGGCTGACTTGGTAATCCTGCAGTGGTTAAGCTGAGAGAGAAGGAGGGAAGGAGACACTGACGATAACTTATTTTTTTTTATAAAGTTCTGTGATTGTGCAATGTTTCGAACCCAGATCTCCCTGTCTGTGTGTGCATTTTTCCCCTCATCCGAAACTGTACTCATTAAAACCTTGCTGCATTCCCGGTTTGGGCTAGCGTGCCAAGAGAACCAACTTTTCTCGCAATGCATTTTAGATGTGCCCCGTGCATAACCTCCAGAAAATGCTTTTCCGCCTCTGTATTGGCAGGTGATTCTCCTTCCTCAATGGCCCAAAATCCCAGAGTTTTTCTGGGAATGTGGAGCCCAAAAAGAAAGGGTCCTTTGGTCCATCAAGAAGCGTGCAATTTGTGATGGCAAACAAGGGTTGAAACTCTTCCCCCTTTTCCACCAGAGCGCTGTCTAAACATTCAGCAGAGACATAACAGGAAGGCATGCACAACAGGGTCATAAAACCCGGTTTTCCTTAGATCCTGATCGTGATCCTTAATGAGGTCGGTGATTCCCTCATTCACTGCTCCTCACCTCCCCAACAGCTGTCGATAAATAAATAAATAAGGGGTCTGCCTTTGGATGGCGCGGGTGGCAACTTATTCCCTCTGTCTTGCTCCATTTGAAGGACCGCCAAGCCAAACGCTGGGCGAGAACTTCTGCTTTGTCTGAACCGTGCTGGGCAGGAATGGTGAGGCCCATTCTGGAAGCTCTTTTTTTTAAAAAAGAACTTTTCTAAGCTTGAAGGCTCAACCTCAGCAGTCTAGGTGGTCGGGAGGCCCAGAAAGACACGGTGGCCCAAGGAGACCACATCAAAAACTTCCCCCTCTGACCAAAGCCACCCTCGGACATGACTCACACGAGGAAGTGACTGGTCGCCCGTTCTATTCCTGGACGGCTTTAGCATGCCAGCTGTCTGCAACCACACATTTGCAGGGCAGAGGAGACCTGTCGGATTCTGGGCCCATTCTTACATCCAGGGAAAGGCCGGGCGGTGTCTCGGATAACTTCGGATGCTGCTGAAAGAGTTAGGAAAAAGACCTGCGGTTCAGGATTAGGCAACTGCAAGAGTCAGGTGATACCTTTATCAAACCACTGGAAAAAAAATCGTACAAATCGCAAGCTTTCCTGGGCCAAACCCCAGCACAACCCCTTTCAGGGCTAGTGAGGAAAAACTGTAGGTCAGGATCCCGAAAACGCATGGCGGATGTCCGTGCCGAGGCTCACCTGGTATGAGGCGAGTTCAGACTTTAGGTTATAAAGCAAGTCAGGACATGTGGTTTCGAGCATCTTCCTTTATAATTTGGTTGGTGTTTCCCTTCCCAAACTCCAAACACAGACTTTGCTAATTACTATGTGGCTGCCCCCCCTCCAACCCATGGTGCATAACCGGCTGTGCGTCTGCCTTAAAATTCCCTCTCTAGAAGTCGGAGAGAGACAGAAAGGTGCTTCATGCGACCGGATGCCTTTAAATCAGCGATGCCACTGCAGAATGGGCCTCTCACGTCCGTCACCCTAACCACTACATCCTACTGTCTGAGTTCTGAGAACTTTCCTTAGACGGAGTCTGGAGGAGAGGAAGCCCTGATACACCGGCCAGAACCATCCTATTTTTCCAAGCCTGAAGGAGGTAGAACCAGAAGCAGGAAATCCAAATCATAAGTGAAGAGCTCCTTAGATGGAGTTGGAGGAGAGGAAGCCCTGATACACTGGCCAGAACCATCCTATTTTTCCAAGGCTGAAGGAGGTAGAACCAAAAGCAGGAAATCCAAATCATAAGTGAAGAGATTGTGACTTAACCGTAGGAAGAAGGGCCTGATGGTAGGAGCTGTTCAACCCTGGAACTAACTTCCTTGGACATATGGTGGATTGTCCTCTCTCTCTTTTTTTTTGGAGGTCATCGAATGTTGATTAGAGATGGCTATCAGTCAATGACACTTCAGCTGTGGATTTCTTGGACATATGGTAGATTGTCCTCTCTCTCTCTCTTTTTTTTTTTTTGGAGTTCATCAATGTTGAATGGAGATGGTTATCAGTCAATGACACTTCAGCTGTGGATTCCTGCAAGGTCTGGACTTCTAGCCAATCTGGAGGTCTCTTCCTAATCTAGATTTCTACAACTCTATTATTGTCATGGTTTTTGTGAAGATTCTCCGTCCTCCAGGCGTGGCGATGTGGAAGATGAGTCGTGGCAAGCGGACCTCTTTCTAGAAGGAAGTCCAGTTGCCACGACTCAACTTCCAGATTGGTTTGTTCCTTGAAAATTTGCCTAGGGCTCCATCGCTCTGTGGTTCTGAGACTTAGCGAGATTTCCGCACACTCCTTGAACCTGTTAAGAGTTTGAGCCGTCGTCTCCTAGACCCGGTCCACCCATGGTTAGTCTTCCACTGGAAGGGCCAGCCGGTTGGGATGGCGCATCTCAAGGGCCCAGGTGTTGGTGGTTGTGCAGGCAAGCACGCAGGCCAGTGCTAGCCCCTTGGAAGGAGCAAGAAGGTCACACCGTTCCTACAAGGTTTGCTGACGAGGCAGGAAGACGTCTCCAAGAAAAGCTGAGGAACCCATCATGAACGCCTATCACGGACATTTCCTCACTGAGATAATAGGGAAGGGGGTGTATTTTTTAAAAAATCTTGCCGTCTAGAATGGATTCTTCTTTTTTTTTTCCAGAAAAAAAAAAGAACACCAGCCACCCCATCAGTCCTGCAGAAGGCAGAAGCAAGCGAAGTTTTTTGGAACCAGACCACAGAGGCTTACGTCACCTGGAATTTCATGAGATGCTGATCTTTTTCAAATAAAGTCAACAGACTCCGCTTGGCGATTGATATAAAGCCCACTTCTCAAAAATTTGGGGCCCCAGACTCCGGCAAGTAAGTAAAACCTCCCCAATATCCTGTTTTTCTTGTGGGGGGGAGTTCCCTTGTCCAATGTCTTTTTTTCTGGAGTATAACGAGTTATTTTTAAGCCTTCCTCCCTCGTCTGGTGAGGATCAGAACCTGGACAGTTACTTTCAAAAACTTAGCCCTTCATGCTTGCTACCATCTTTGAAAAGTAGTTATTCTTCTTTCTTGCCATGCTGAAAAAGTAACTCATGACATATTATGCTGGATGCTGCTTTTTCATTACTTTCTGTTATTTTTTTTAAAAAACGAGGGGACCTTAGGAATGGTAAGAGAAAGCACAATAATAGGCAAATAATATCCAATTAAACCCCATCAAGACGCCTTGCGAAATCTCTTTTAAAAAACCCTTGGAAGACAATCATTGGAAAGCAACTAAAAGATGTTAGTAGTGGGACCCATAAAGTATCGAGTTCAGATCTAGACTCTGTCAAAGGTTGGCCATAGCGTGAGAACAAATTCAAACAGGTCCAAACGCCACGCTTGACGGTATCCATTACGCCGGACGCTCACGTGAATTTATTTCAACTTGTTTGGGAAATGACGTTCTTTGAAGTTTCCTCTATAAAGCAGGAAGCTGAGGTGAAGCAAGAATGGCCAGAAACCATGCAGGGAAATGTAGGTTGAGCAGTGATTTTTGAATGAAGGGTATTTCCTGACAGAGCTGATATTGCACCATTGACAAATCTTTTCTACCCCCCCCTTCCCTCTAAGAAATGTTTTTTATTTTCTAGATGGGAACCATCAGAGAGGGTGGAGTGAGAGAAAAAAGAGAACTAGATTATAGATTTTGGATTTTTTAAAAAAAATTGTTTGTGTGGGTGTGTGTTTTTTCTCCTCTCATGCAGAAGTGAAATTGACTTTTGCAAGAGGAGGAAAGGAGAAATGAAGGAAATGTTAAGATCCTGGGCGGCAAAACATGATTTCTGCTCTCTCTCCCCTTCCGTGCCATTAAAGTGACATCTGTTCGTAGTTCTCACTTCTACAGATTCCTCCGGGCGAGTTTTCATCAGGGCTTTGGCATTGCAGGAAAACAAGTGTTTCCTCATTTAATGCGAACATCTTGTCCTCAGATTTCAATCCTGTGACACTGGGGGATTTAGACATGCATGAAAGAAGAGGTGGTGGTGGGGTTTGAGAGTCAAGAATGTGTTGCTTTTCTCCAGCTGTGTGTCTGTGTTTGTGTGTTTCCAAAGAGGCGAAACAATGGATGCTGGATCTTCTCTCAAGAGAGCTGCAAAGGGTTCGGAAAAAGAGCCGGCACGGATGGCTTGAGCGAACCTTTTGCTTCTTCTTTCGCCACCTGGGCTAAACAGGTCCAGCAGGTTTTTGCTTTGTTTCAAAAGCCTGCAAAGCTCCTTTGATCAGACCTGATGGACCCAGGCAAGTTTGAAAGCTGCGTCTTTTCAGCTGGTTAGGGGTTGTAGCTCAGAGGTGAGACATGTGTTTTGTATGTAGAAAGGGCCGAGTTTAGCTAGAAAAAACCACCATGCCCAGGGTCCAACGTGGGTAATACTGGGCCAGATGGGGGGAAAAATGGTTCAGGCTGAAAAAGTTGTGTTTTCAAATTCTGGTTTGACCTGACAGCACTCCTGTTTCTTCCTTGAACTGGGAGAGGGACTTAATCTCTGCATTATTTCATTTTGTTTTAATTTTATTTATATCCCACCTTTCACCCAATGCGGAGAACTAAAGCAGCTTACAAAAATGATTTTTTTTTAAAAAAAAGGGATACAGAAGTTAAAATATTCAGATTCAATTAGAAGTATAGTGATGGTAAAAGACCACTAACTTAAAACCATTAAAAGATTACCGAAGAACAGTGTAGAATTCCTCCATGAAGATGCTGTTCTCTGCAAGGGCCTGAGATAACACAAGAGTGTCACGTGCTCCCTATAATTGACTCCGGTCAACCTTGGGCTAGTTGAAGTCTCCAAACAGTCTCCAAAGGCAGCACCCTGTAGACCACATTGCAGTAATCTAGCCATTCTGGGTACTGGGGTGGTGCTAGAAAACAGCTGCTACCAAGAGCAGGAACAAGAGTATTTGAATACCTAACAGGGATCCCTGCCAGAATCTGTTCTTCGCTAAGTCCATCAAAGCGACGCTCACCTATAAAACGGAGATTCGAACCATCATCTCCAACTGTAAAGGCTTCTGGGGGGGGGGGAATAGTGCACCCCAGGTCATTGGAAATGTGGGCGAGCGCAGGGTGGGGGGATTCACTCCTGGCAGGCCAGGCTTGCTCCGAGCAGCTGTGAAGTCCATGTGCCAGCTGTCCGTTCACTGGGAGCCGTGAATTTCCACCCAGCTCCGCCTGTGACGGGCCTCGGACGGAGGCCAGAGGACTTTTTTCCAGAGCACAGGCCAGGCTTTAGAAAGCCAAGCCAGCGAGGCGAGGCAGGACTTAGGAAAAAATGACACACACACTCTTGACCAAATCCTCTGGCGTTCCCCAGCTCCTCCGAGCCCCCCTATTCAAAATAGGGGTCCTTTTTAAGGTAAGCCCCCAAACAAGGAGGTGTGTGAGAGATGCCTTTATTAGAACACCAAAATGGGGGGAAAGGGGATCAGGTTTGCCCATTCAAAACCAAAGCAAAACCCCAAAATATTTTGCATTACAGGCCCAGCGCAGAGCCATACACTGTCTTCCTGGGCATTACATGTCTTGCTTCTCCTGCGAGGGTCACAGCTAAGCTTAGAAAGACCAAGCAAGCCTGAGGGAGGGGGATCGGGAACACATGGTCCCGGTAAACAGAGAAGTTATGGGGCTTCGACCCTGCGTGCCCGCGTTCCACTACGACGCTTGCGACGGGGGCTGCCTTGCTCTGTTTCTCTGTCTTTTGCAAATCTCTTGAGGAGCATCTTCCCCAACAACCCGAGAAGGAAATATGTTCTTCTGGTTGTCCTGTGGCATCAAGTCGCCTCCGACTCGTGGTTACCCCGTGAATGAGCCGTCTCCAAAATTATCATCAGCTGCCCTACTCAGTTCCTGCAAACCCAAAAGCCATGGCTTCCTTGATGGAGTCCATCCATCGCACCCTTAGTCTTCCTCCTTTCCTGCTGCTTTCCACCTTTCTCAGCGTTATCATCTTTTCCATGCAAGGCTCGGCTAAAATGGGTAGTCACCGACCTAACGAAGCCAGAGAAAAGAAGGGAGGTGGAGTGACATCGGCTGGGCCTCTTTGGGTGCTTTCATCTGGTTTTGAATGCGGTGCCTTGTTTAAAGAAATGGAGGGCTTTGTAAACCTTGGCCAAGGGAAGATATCGAATGAAAGAATGTGCAGAGAACAGAGCGATTCAAACAAAAACGATCTTTACGGCAGCTGGTGCAAAGAGGGCCAGCGTCGGAATTGGAAAAGGGTCCCTGTTTCTGAAGCTGTTGGCAGGATGTGCCAGATTCAATAAAGAAACAGGGCACGGTGTTAGTTAGCAGTCGGTGGAGATGTTCATTGAGCGGGAAACAGCTGCTTCCGGGCTCCTTAACATTTCTTGTTTGAATCCTAGAATCCTAGAATCATGAAGTTGGAAGGGACCTCAAAGGCCATCCAGTCCAACCCCCTGCTCGAGGCAGGCATCCAAGTCAAAGCAGATCGGGACCAAGGGTGGTCTTGTTTTCTCTTGAAGGCCTCCGGCGCTGGAGACAGAGGGTGGTCTTGTTTACTCTTGAAGGCCTCCGGCGCTGGAGCGCTCCCCACCTCTCGAGATCACAGATGCTGCAAATTGTCGTAGATTTGGGGCCGTATTTAAATTGATTTGTTTAAATAAATAAATCCTCTATGCCTCTTCTTACACGGGGGGCCTTCCTTCGCCCTTCTGGTCATAAGAGCTTCCAGGCAGGCAAGTTCCTGGGAAGTGACCTCTCGGATGGGGAGACCCCCTCGGATACGACTTGGAAACAGGCCCGGCTGCTCGTCGGAGCTGGCTATACAAGGCGGACCGAGTTACTCCGACTCAGTAACTGAGCCGCCCGGGCCGTTTCTGCCCTTTTGAGCCAAAGTTCCTTCGTAGCAGAGGGAATATTGTCCCAGGGTGTACAAAGGCTTGTTCACGAAGGCCGGGGTGATGTAAACGTTGGCCCCCCTCGTGGTATCTCCACGCTTCAGCCTCCAGCTATGAAGTCTTGGCCGGAGAGGCTGACGGCAGCTGAGTGTGAAGGAAGTGGTCCAGCCGGCCTTTTCCAGCTGCAGGAAGTGGACGGCGTCCCGCTCCCTTTTTGGGGAAGGAGGCCGACCCCCTCGGACCGCATCTGCTTGCGATTTCCACGAACGGATCCCACCCACGCTTCGCCTCCCTTCGCAGCCAGATTCCGACACTCCACTGGCGTTCTCAACCCCCACAAAAGGGTTGCTTTTCCAGTTCTGGCACGGGACCTGACAGGGTTCTTGTGAGGATCAAGTTGGGAAGGACGATGCAGTAGGCAAGAAAATGATGAAGGCAGCCAACAAGAAAATAATAAAATATATTGTTTATAATCAATGTATTAGATGTATTATTTATAATAAATTGGGCAGATCTGTGGACAGTTTCTTCCCCCTGTTCAGTGAGGTTAAAATCATACTTACCTGGTGGCCACAAGCTCTACTTCCCAACCAGTCAAGCTGCGATACCATGGAATGTTCATAAACATTCTGACTGATCAGGGGACACCATTGTTGGCCGACTGTTAAAAATTGGTCGGCAGCTGCTCTGTCAGTTCATTTCGCAGGGCAGAAAACTCTTGATAGGACTGCAAGGGATTTCCTGAAAAGGGGGCAGAGAGGCCGAGCCGTGGCTCCCTGTGGCCGAAGGGGCCACTTTTCCAGGCCCCCCAACCATCCCAGAACCCCCTCTGTTCCAGTGAGAATGAGCCAAGGAAATCAGAAACCGTTTCCAGCCCTTTCCTCTTAAAACAAATGCCACAAGGGAGTTCGGTTAATTGCCTTCTCCGCTTCCAAAAGATCTAACAATATCATACTTGCTTGGCCATTAAAGTGACCCGTTATAACGGCTCATTAAACAGCAACATTGGCCGCCAGCCGCAGACCCAGCATCGCACCCTGTTCTTGCTGATCTTGTGAGTTCGGTACGGTTTCATCGTCCACCTTTTTGGCAGAAGAGAATTGTGCAACGCTGTTTTGGCTCATGATCCTGTCATCATAATTGCACAATAAGCTTTTAAAGAGAAAAGGCTGGCCTTCGACCCTGTGGATTCGTGCACTTATCCCCCACATTTGCGTGGCTCGGAGGTGAGACTTGGTGGACGGTGGTCTAGAACTAGAGATCATGCACTGGCTGGTTGGATTTTTCTCCTGGGCTTGAATGTCTTAAAGCTTTCCCTCCTTTCGCCCTCGGACTTCCACGCAATTCGTGGACTTGGGTGGATTTGTCTGAAACGAATTGAAATACTATCTCTCCCTTTTGCAACCACCTGAGTCACAACTAGGGTTTGAAAAGGAGGAAGAAGAGAGGGAGAGAGGCAGCGATTTAAATATGAAATAAGGCGGTTAATTATCTCTCAGGTGACCCAAAAGGCTTTATAGGATCCTACGAAGGCCAATAAAAAGCTGCTGGCTTTATATCGGAGCAACTCTGGACACAAGGGCTGTTAATCTTTCTACTTTATTTGCATCTGCAGTCATTCATTCGTTCCCCCAAGTTCTTCAGAACATTCTAGTGGCAGGTAGTTCCGAAGGCAAATGGTCAAAGCCAAGCAAACCAAGGGAGATGTTGCGGTCTTTCAGTAGGGTGAAAAGAACCTGTCCAAAATTGCCAGTCCATGGTAATTTGGGGAGGAGAGGTAAGAAGGCACAGCCATTTGGAAACAACAGGAAGGCCAGATTTGGCCCCTGAATCCCCTCAGCCCTCAACATTTTAATTTGAAACTTCTCTGTGGTCTTTTTGGAGATTTCACTAGAATTCTTAAATGTCCTGGAATATTATTTGTTAACAAGAAGCTTGACATTCAATGCAGATTCAGCCCTTTAGCGAAGCTGAGCTGAACTCGAAAGGGGAAAATACCTACACAAGAGTAAACTAGAAGACTTTCAGGCCAATACGTCTCCGTTTACGGTCGATTTTGGTCTGGCTGTAACACCATTTTTACGCGTATGTCCGCATTGTTTTTGCCATCAGTTTCAATATTCGAAATGACACTTCATTACTGCCATTAAAATTTCAAAGCTCACCAGGGACTTTATTTCAGCAAAGACAGGAAAAAAGATATTCATCGTCTATTTATTATGTACTGAATTATTTAAAACGATGCCCATTGCCTGCCAAAATATCCCTCCTCCTCCCCCCCTTTTTTTGGTTAAATGACAAAAGTGGTCGTGGATAACTGATGTTTTATCTTAGGCAATATTTAACTGACTTCCCATCCCCAGGAAACCCATCTCTCACTGCCCTCTCTTGTGAAGGATTCTGAGTCCATGGAGGTTGGTCCACACGAGGCATTAGCAACTCTCATTATACCCCGATTTCTAAGAAAGACTGCAATGTCCACCTCTGGTAGACAGGTTCATCAGGTTTTACATGGTTTTCCTGCTACACCTATTTGACCAAAGACAAATGGAGCAAAGTAAATGGATGCCTCTCCCATGGGATTTTGCAGTGTTGCTCCCAAATCATTTTGGACAGTGGTTCTCAACAGTGTGGTCATCCAGATGTTTTAAACCCAGCCAGTTTGGGCCAATGGTGAAGCATTCTGGGGGGGGTTGAGCTTCTAAACATCTGGAGAGAAACGTTGACCTGTAACCCTCGTCCTTCTTTAAGACGAGACCCTGCAGGGGCCAAATCGTTTTTGCTAGAGAAGCTTTCCTCTCGGAATGGGTGGCCACCCTAATGGATCTTGGATTGTGGGTCACTGCTAATGTAGAAGATTATATATCTGAATCTGTTCCAGGAATGAAGACCTTGGAATCTTATCTTCCTTAGGAGTGAATTCACGAGTTATAAAAATGGGGCTGTACATCTCTCTTCTTTAAGCATATTTTTCAGCTTTTCTTTTTGTTCCAACAGGACATGGAGGATGTTGATAACTCTTCGGAGGGCTACGCAGATTATTATGACAGCTATAACAATCTAACCATCAGAGAAACGATCAGAGAGGAACGGTCCTACGACTTCATCCAGATCCTTGCCGTTGTCATCTACAGCATCACATGCCTCCTTGGCTTACTGGGCAACGGCTTGGTCATCGTGATGATAGTGTTCAAGATGAAGAAGTCAGTCAGCATCATCTGGTTCCTCAACTTAGCGGCTGCCGATTTCCTCTTCAACGTCTTCCTTCCCTTGAACATTGTCTACACGGCCATGAACTACCACTGGGTCTTCGGCCGGGCCATGTGTAAAGTCAACTCCTTACTCCTCAACTTCAATCTCTACACCAGCGTCTTCCTGTTGACCACCATCAGCTTCGACCGTTGCATGTTGGTGGTTTGTCCTGTCTGGTCTCAAAACCACCGCTCCACCAAGAAAGCTTGGGCGCTGTGCCTTCTCATTTGGACCCTTGGCTTCCTCATGAGTTCCCCCTCCCTCGTCTTCCGAGACACAAGTACCGCCCAGGGCCATGTCAGTTGCTTTAACAACTACGCCTTGTCTGAGTCTCCGGCTCACGGCCCGGTGGGCAAACAGAGGCACGTCGCGGTGACCATCTCTCGCTTCCTGGTTGGGTTCATCTTACCGTTGATGGTCATCACCATCTGTTACCTGATTGTTATCTTCCGCCTGAAAAAGAACCGGCTCACCAAGTCGAAGAAACCCCTAAGGATCATTATCGCCATCATAACCACTTTCTTCTTATGCTGGTGTCCGTACCACGTCTTTCAGCTCCTGGAGACGCAACACCACTGCGTCCCGAGTTCCCTCCTGGAATTCGGCCTCCCGCTGGTCACGGCGATCGCTGTTTCCAACAGCTGCATGAACCCCGTCCTTTACGTCTTCATGGGTGAGGATTTCAAAAAGTTCAAGATGACGGTGCTGTCCAGGTTGGCCAACGCCCTGAGCGAGGACACTGTTTACTCAACAATCATCCGCAGGAGCTTCACAAAACCCTCTTCACAGACAGAAAAAGAAACCATTTTGTCCTGAAGTCTGGGCCACAGGTGCAACACTGTCCGTCCGCAAAAACAGAGAACGGTTTGGGTGACGTGGAGTAGCTTCCACGCTGGAATTCAACGGGTGCGTGTCCTCGTTCTCTTGTTTTCAAATGTTCCAAAAGGAGCATGGATTTGTCCAAATGAATTTTTTTTTGTGTTCACAGCATGTGGTCCGCTGACCCTCACTGGCCCATCATCATCTGTAAACCTTTCCAGTTGACCATATAAGCCCCCTTATAAGAACTGGAGGTTATTTTTTAAAATTCGGCAGCCTTTGGCTTCTTCCCACATTTCTGAGTGACCATTTTTGGCTTCCCGTGGAGACTGGAGCTGCCGATTTTTGTTGGAGGTGGTGAATTCGCTCTTATGTCAAACATTACAGGAGTTATTCAAGCTGATGAATCAGGAAAGAGGCATGTGAGATTCCAGTTTCATAGAAATAACAAGTTCTTTATGGATTTTAGTCCAAACTTTACAAGAGCTTTCCATGGTGCTGAATTCTATCTATCTATCTATCTATCTATCTATCTATCTATCTATCTATCTATCTATCTATCTATCTATCTATCTATCTATCTATCTATCTATCTATCTATCTATCTATCTATCTAATTCAGCACCATGGAAAGCTCATGTAAAGTCTGGGCTAAAACCCAGAACGGATTTGTTATTCCCAAGAAACTGGAATCTCGCATGCCTCTTACGTCACCAGTGGAAGATTTAATGGTATCTCTGCTTTTCAACACTATAAATTATGCTTCAGGGATTCAGCGTTTCATATAAGCCTTCAGCAACTTTCCTTTCCTTTCTTGTTGTCTTTTCTGTGAAATTTCATACTCCATTAATAAATCTTTCCTGTAAAAGGTGGGCTGGGGCATTCGGTCTCTCCAATTTCATGCACAGTTAATTTGGGAGATAATTCATAATATTTTTTTCTTCTGTTGTGGACTGGACGGCAGCAGTGAGCAGAAATCAGCACTGAGAGAGAAATTTCACCAGCACAATACTCACAAAATCACCTTGAATTGTGCATGGAAAGAATCAGGGGTCCAAGGAAAACAGCCAAGGAGATATTTCTACTTCCCCATCCCACAGATATAGTTTCTCAGAATGTTGATTCCCTCCTTGTGGGATTAAAATTCACAAGGCACGGCCACTAATCCATTTTCAGTCTGTGGCATAAACATCACCCAGAGGCTCCCCAGGATACAGAACTGGAAATACTGCTTAACCAAAACTAATTTTTTGCTGTATGAATGTGATGCTTATTATGGGTTGTTTTGAGTTTTTTTTTAAAAAAAGGTGTTGATTTTACACGGCTGGGATATCTTCTTCGATCCTAGTTTTATTCTTCTTTACCACCCAATAAAGACGGCAAAGCAGAATTTGTGATGCTATTTCCAAAGAAGTAGATTATGATCCCTGAAAGCTGACATGGAAATAAAAGAGTTTGTGGGATCTAGTTTGTTATTGTAATTTACCAGCACCCCAGCGAAAGCCAAGGTGCAAAACGCTGCGTGGATCATTTTGTGTGTTTATGTGGGGTAGAATCAATAACCGAAGGCAGGGGGGTCTCAACCCTTGGTGCACGGACTGCCGATGGGACTTAGAAGCAATGAAAGCAGGCCCCGGGATGGTCATAACAATGATGAAGAACTCCTAGTCATTCGGTCTTGCTGACCTAGAAGAACCTTGAATTTAAGAAGCAGGGGAAGCTGAGCGCCTTGAGCTTCCCAAATAACTCAGTTGCATGGCAGGCATGATAGCAAAAAGAGACCGCCATGCGCTCGCTTTTAAGGTAGTTCCTTTTTTCCATTCCAAGAGGAGATGCTCTCCGGCAGCCTTTCCCGAACTCAGAGCAGGCATAAAACGGGTTTTTAACCATCCCCTTGCAAAGACTCCAGGTACCAGTTCGGAACCCTGACTCGGCCCATGTTGGGAAAGAACGCTGTTTCTTCTTGATCCTTTGTGTATTTCATTTCACAGGCTTTGTGGCCCTTTGCAAGGGGGGGCCCAAGATGGGGACCTGATGAAGACTCCTTTGGGAAGGGACCCCCTGCTTTTTTGGGGGGGGGCTGGAAAATTAAACCCACTCCCATTGGATCCCCAAGTGAAGAGGTTCAAGGATCCGGCGCTCGGGCACAGCAGGGGCGCTACTGCCACCTGTTGGACATTCCGGCTAACAGCAGAGGGTGGGGGCAGTGTATTTAGAGAAGGCGAAATTTATATCCATCATTTATTCCCCCATTCTATTCTAACTCCGCAGGGCTCCAAAACAAAGGCATTTCCTTCCTCCGGCTGAGAGCCGCTAGGATTTGAACCTGGGACCCTCGGGGTGCAGAACATGGGTTTCTAGCACGGACTACTGTTTGGAAAGTTACTTTTTAAATAACTTAATTCAGTAACTTAGGGGCCCCGGATTCTTTTCGTCGACCTTTAGAGCAGAGGTGGGCCAGATCTGGCCCGCAGCTTAGCCAAGGGCCTCTGGGCGTCTTTCTCTAACCCCCACCGGCGCTGACGGATCCTGCCTTTTACACTGAAACAAGGTGAACCAAAAGCTCACACTTTGCTCTCGGGGAGACCGGCCTCTGGGAGCAACGTCTTAAACAAGGCGGGCATTTCTCACCTGCCTGGCTTGATTTTTTTTTAAATATCTTTTCCCTTTTCTGATTGGGTGGATGATTTTAGCAGTGTGTTGTGACTCTGTGTGTGTGTGTGTGTGTTTGTTCATCGGCACCTGGGTGCACAGGGGTCCGCGCAATCCTCTAAAATTTCTGCACGATGCAAAGTAAGTACATAGCTTTGGATCTTTCCCGACTTACAATAGAAGCTTCGTTCTGCTGGTGTTGCCAACTTATCATTGAAGAGCAGCCCTCTTCCCCTCTCCCCCCCCCGGTGCTCCTGTGCATTTAACGGCACCTGAGTTGCAGGGACGATCCGTCATGGTTACTTATTTGAATAACATGTTCACAGCATGGCAAGAAACCTTTTCAGCTCCCAATCCAAACAGACCAAAGTGGCAGAGGATGGAAAATTTGGCAGCCTTATCAGACTGTACATGTTTCCTGCATTCCCGTAAGACCTCATGTGATTCATGGGCATTAAGGAATAAGCTGTTCAAGGTCTCTTGGAGGACGTATTCTGCTCTCTCTCTCTCTCTCTCTCAATGTTAATGCACTGATTATCTTTTCTTTTGAAATCCATTTCTATTTTTTTTTTTGAACGGCCGGCAGGCGGAAGTTTGCTCATCCTTCATGTGGAAGTTAGCAGCTGCCTCTGTTTGCTCTCTTTCTACTGTACATAATATTTAATTAAGTGTTAAAAGGTACGGTCCCAGAATCCCATTAAGTCAACATGCGTAGAGGTCAAAAGCCGGTCTAAAGCACGCTGGAAGAACAGAACATTTTCGTAGCAGGTGGGAGGGGAAAGCAGACCCATCAATGGGGAGGAAGGGGTAAAATGGCACCCCGAGACAGACGGGTCCTCTCCAAGAACGGCTTTCCACCATGGAAAATATCAGCAAAGTGGTTTCTCCCGAGAAAGGGAACCAGAAGCCGTAAAAAGATGGCTGGATTGTAACGAAAACGTTCCAGCAGTAAAGCAGAGAAGGTTTGTACTCAAAAAGAGGAATCGTCAGAAGATGAAAAGAAAAGCGTACACATGCATCAAGGTATAAATCCAGGGACAGACAACCTCTGGGGAAAAGCGTACAGTTGAGCTGTGGAATTTCCTGCCACAAGATGCGGTGATAGTTACTTAGTGGTAAAGGCCACCTCTTTTCCAGCCACCCAGCCTGGAAAACCCTTTAGCTGGAGTTCAAATGAGACTTGAATGCAAATGCATGTAGACTATGAGTCATCATCAACCTGTTCTTCCTCCAGTGCCTCAGCAATCAGACTAGAAAAATAAGTTTGTGTTTGTCTTCTAATCGCAAAGCGAAGCACACCAAATGCAAGATGCACGTGCGAGGGAAAACACATACAGTGATGAACAGATGCCTTTCAACTGTGAAGGGAACACCTCTTCTAAATACGGGTTAAACACTTTGTCTGGTTTGACTCCAAGACCCCTAGACTCTAGAAAGAACAGACAGACAGAGCCAGGCTCAGAGAGACCCAGGATCTGACTCACTATATACGCTCTTCTTTCCGAACACCAGGCCACCTCGTTTTTTGGCCAGCTGAGTCACCCGTTCGGCTCTGGCTCAGCCCCATCATTGAAGCTTTGCTCTCTTGGCTATTTTAGGGACGAAGTATCACGGAAGCTTCCCTGTTTGGGACAGATTTTAAGCCGAACCGCCCCAACATGGAGGCCCGGCCAGCCCGTCTCCCATTTCAGCAGCAAAATCTGATACAACACGGAGTCTTTCACGAATCCCTCTTTTTTTGCCAGCTTGGTTCCGACAGAGCCGTTCCTCGCCTCTCTTCAGAAACCCTCACCCTCCCACTCCCCCAAAAAAGAGTATTTTTAAAATTTACGGGGCGATGCCGTCTGGGTTGGAAAGGAGAAGCCGTGTTACCACAGCAACGGCCCATAGATAGCCTTGCTTTCGCTCATGACTCCTGAGGAAGGCAACGGGTTTGGAAAAGAGGAACAATTAAGAGGAAATCTTGAAATGAAGATATAAATAAAGTTGGGCAGGGTGTGTGTTAGTGCCTCAGAAGCACAGTTTAAGACAGTCCAAAGGTCGACATGGCAGCATCTCAGCGATCATGGACACTTTCAAATCACCTTCTAGACATCTTATAACAACCCTCTCTCTTCCAGCCGAGCATGTACGCACATGTTTCGGTTCTAGCACCAGCTTTACTGTGAAATTATTCCAAATACTGTCCTTGCTTCTGGCAGCACGTAAATTTAATTACAATAGGACCCCTGCGTCTGCGGAGGATCAGTCCAAAGACCTCCCCCACGGATGCTGAAAAATGTGGATTATTGCAAACTATATACATGTCGTGGTCTCTGATTCCCCCGCATGGCCAGTTCTGGAAACTTAATCGTTAAATATATATATATTGGGGGGGGATTTTTCTTTTAATATTTCTAATATTTTCAGACAATGGATAAGTGAATCATCGGATACTGATCCTGTGGATAAGGGAGTCCCACTGTACTTAAGATAGTTTTCCATCTCGTCTTCTAGTGATCCACTGGAACAGAGCCTCCTGATGCAGATGCAGTCTATCTTTGAGTACCAGAGGATGGGGCAGTTCTTTTGCCCTCATCCCCTGTTCAAGGGTCGTTACAAGCAGTTATGGACTTAATGGAAAGACGTTTCTTCTGTTCGAGCTGCAGCTTTGATCCGGAAAGGAGACATCCACCCTGCCACCCGCCCCTTTCTTGTCAAAGGATCTTGCAGACCTTGAAAAAAAATAAACCACATTTCTTTTGGACTGCATATCCCAGAATACCCCATCTAGCAGGGAGGATTCTGGGATCGGGCTGTTCAGAAAAGGAACTTTTCCATCTCTGTGCCCCCCTGGCCTTCATTTCCTCCTCCAGCTGCCTCTCCTTGAATCCGGTGGCTGTTCAGCTCCGCTAACTTAATGACAACCGTGGAGAATGAAGGCCCCCTATAAATCTGCCGGAGGAACATGTCATGATCTTCATGAAATCACTATATTTCCAATAAAAGATGGGCTAAATATGCTTCCAGAGGGTGGGGTTTGTTTGTTTGTTTGTTTTGGAAAACAGCACCGGGTAGCATATGGGAAGCAAACAGATAATTGGATCGCGTCTCTTTCTGAAAAGTTATTTTGACCTGCGTTTTTGCATTCAAAAAAATCCGTTGCCATTGCAATGTTTTAAAAGCCATCAGATCGATGGACGGTGGTATTTTTTCAAGCAATGCAAATTGTTCTGCAGTGGCACTCTCTCACACACACACACATAAGCACACACACGTGCGTGCATCTCCCTGAAAAAAAAAAGTTTTCTCTCAGTGCTATCCCAACTTATAAAAGTTTGCTCCAATTTTATCCTTTTGAAATTTTTTTTCCTGGTGTGCGTTTTGGTGCTGAGGTGGTTTGACAAATTTTGGAGAGTTCTAAGTGGGAAAAAAAATCACTGCATTCTCGCCTCTGTACAAGTGTAAGAAGAATAAATCCAGTAAGGACCAAATTACTGTGTGAACCAAACAAGGGCTGGTGCAGGAGAGGTCAGTGAAGGAAATGCTCCAAAAAAGCTGGAATCAACCTTCACTAGGGGTTGCTGAAAAAATATTATTTCTCCTTGTCATACACTCCTCTTCCTTCCTTCCTTCCTTCCTTCCTTCCTTCCTTCCTTCCTTCTTTCTTTCTTTCTTTCTTTCTTTCTTTCTTTCTTTCTTTCTTTCTTTCTTTCTTTTCCTTCCTTCCTTCCTTCCTTCCTTCCTTCCTTCCTTCCTTCCTTTTTTGCCATTTCCGCGTCTTGCACAGACATCAAATAAATAGACATTTTCTATTTATTTTTGTCTCAGTCGCTCTTGGAATTGCATTCTGTCACATAGCTAATAATTTGTGAGCAATTTCCATTAGGAACTCCATATATATCCAGATCCAGTAAGGAAAGGTGGTCAGCGCCGGAACACCCAAACTGGATGTTCCAGGAGGAGACTCAGCGGTCCAAAAAAAATAAAAAAGAGGGGGGGATCCGGCTCACCACCGGTCCAGCCTGCTCTCTCTTGGACTCCCTTCCCTTCACCCACTCCGATATCTCTGGGGAGACGCTGGTCACATCCTCAGCGCTTGAGTCACACAGAGCCAGATGGAGGGAGAGGCCGAGCTGGGAGCTGGTGGCTCATTGGGCATTCAGGACCACGGACAGCTCTGGAGGAAAGCGGAATCCGGCCACAGGAAGGAAGCGAGGGAGAGAAAAGCAGAAAGGAGAGCAGGATGGAAGAGGGACCCACAAGAGGATTCTCATCCCCTTTTTGGCAGGAGCACAGCGGTGGGGACAGGAAAACAGGAACGGACCTTAGGCACACTGTGAATCCAGATGTGGTCCAGTCAGTGCCCTGGAAGATTGACCATAACTTGCTCAACAGGAAAGCCACCCGCCAGGTTTTCCACGCTGTCTGTAGCATCATCGTTATTCAATGAAAGTTTCCCTGGCTGGAGTTCTTCTCCGCCACCGATGGGCCAGATTTTTGGAGAGCGTCGCTGGGCGCTGTCAAAATGTCGGCCAAGGGTTCATCTGAGACCTCAGGCAGCTGAGAGGCTGCCGGGAGGCGTCTTAGAAACGAAGGCATGGGGCTTAAAGACCTGGTGGAGGAACCGCCATGACATTCCCCCTCCTCTTAAAAGGATCTTAAAATGGGCCTCCTCAAAACCAGGACCCGGGGGGTTCCTTGAGTGCTGATCATCAGAACCAGGAGGGGGTGGAGCCAAAGCCCAGGGTGGGAGGGGCTCTCTATGTGGGCGGGGCCTGGAGGCAGGGAAGAGGTTATAAGGTGAGTTGTTTGTTTTCCTGACCCCTGTTCCGGTTCACAAAAAGCTTTCGCCATCCTTTATATGCTCGTCTTTCAGGTCCCCAAAGACTTATTATTAATGTATTGTTCTATGTATTTGATTTGTATACCACCCCCATTAGCACAGCCGGAATGCTCTGGGTGGTTTACAATGAAATGAAACAACAAATATAGATTAAAAAAAAAACACCAGAGTTGACATGCTTAAAAAAATAATAATTCAAGGCTACATTTTCAGAGAAATCTGTTCTCTTTCTAATGTGGTTCTTTCCTCTTTGGTGGATCTACCTCCCCATCTGGCTGGCTGTTCGTGTGCAGCTGGTGGAGGGCTTGGCCGAGTTACTCCTTGGCACTCCGAATGCCAGCATCCCGAAGGGGGAAATTTCTCTAATCTCCACTCAGATCCTATCTGTGACCAACACGGCTGAGAAACTCCACAAAAGACAACCCACCACACTGCAGAAGGATTAAGAAAAATCTTTTTTTTTTTTAATGAGCAGCATTTGACCTGAGGATTGTTCAAAACAAGAGTTCAGCAGCTTGGCAAGCCACCCCACGCATGGAAATGGAAAAAGCAGAAAACATCTCATTTGAAGGGGGAAACAAGGAGATTCCGAGATTCCGTCTCGGAGAAACAGATAAAACAAAGGCTTAGAAACAGCTTTGCTGAAACAAAGCCTCAAAGAATAGGCGTCACCCCCCTGCCCCACCCCACCCCCAAGGACTTTTGCCATTTATTTTTGCTCCTTTTTTTAAAAAAAAAATACATTCAGGAGCCTCTTTGGCTTTGACATTGAAGCAAGAAAACACGGGAGGAAATGTAGAAGCAGCAAACATAAACACCACCGACACACACCCCAAAAGCGGCAAGCGTTGCGATTTCGCCGTCGTCCCGTCGTTTCCTCCTACCGATGCCCATTAAAAAAATAGATCTCTTTTTGCAAGGTTCCTCAACGCAGCATAAATATCTTTGCTTTCCCCAAATATGGAGAGAAAGAGAGAGAATGCATGAATCAGATAGCGCCAGATTGAGAAGTGTACATCCAAAATGTACCACCAGAGATATAAAACAAGCCAGGTAAAATATATGGCTTTCGTTGTATTTACATTTGTTGGGGGGGACGCATGGCGTACGGCAGGATTGCTTGCTTGTAAAGATGAAGACGGCGGAAGTAAAAGCTGGTTCCTGTTCTCATCTAAACTAATCCAAGAGCGGCGAAGGGCCGTCTTCGAACATGTGGGAGTCTTGACTTTTAATCATGCTCAGCCACAAATCTCGCTTATCCTGTCCCCATCCTCAGCTTCAGTCCTCCAGATGTGGCTGGCTGCATCTCCCACGATGCTTCGCTGGCTGATGGATCTCCTGCCATTCCTTCAAGAAACTCAAGGGGGCGCGTGTGGCTCTCTTCCTCCCTACTTTCTCCTCACAACAGTCCTGCGAGGTAGATCAGCATGGGGAGAGAGAGAGAGAGAGAGAAAAGAGAGGAACCGGGCAAAAAAAAAAAAAAATCAGCCGGCGAGTTTTATGGGCAAATGAGGATTCAGACGCCGCAGGTGTTCGGAGATCGGTGCCCAAAGCCCTACGCGCCCCTGGCTCTGATGGCTAAGGCTGGTGGCGGCCATTGCCCTCGGACAGTACCTGGAGGCCCTCATGACCTGCCTGTTCGTGCTGTACAATGATTTGAGAGACTAGCAGCCATCCTGATATTTGAATTCTAGATGTACGTTGAGTTTTCTCTAAAATGCAGAAAGTGCTCGACAGCCAATGGAGAACGTGGGTCCTTTCGCCCGGGAAGAAATCTAGAATTATGGGAGGAAGAAGGCTCTCACAGGGGAAATTTCAGGGCCAGGGGGGTTTTGGGGGGGGGACCTTCTCCATCTGATGTCTAGACTTGGGAATTCCAAGTGCATGGTGGGAAATTCACTCCCCCTTCCCTGGCCTTCCTCCTGCCATTCAACTCTTCCCCCGGGAGCTGGTGATGGCCTTTTCCCTGTCATCCGCACCTCAGATTTGACCAGGGGGTTTTCTGGGTTTGAGTCTAGCAGTCCTGTCCCATCTCCAAGCTGTTCCTCTTCTTCCTCCTCTCGTTCCCGGTGCTCAGATCCAAAGACGACCGGATGAGCGAGGAAACAGGGTGGTTTCTGCTGGTGTGGGCAAAGTGGGCCTCGGCGCATGGAAAGCTTGAAGGGTGAAAAAAACCCCTTCCAGGATCTTAGAAGGCTGGTGGTGGTCTCCATCTCTGTGTGCATACATGAACCCACCCCTGGGTGTCTCAGAGCTCAACGCATGCACAGCGATGGTGGCGTTCCCCCATACAATATGCCCCGAGAGGCGGGAGGGTCTGGCCGACACGCACACGCCAAGCGAGGTGGGAAAGAGATCACGTGCAGAGACGGTAGAGTAGGATGCGTGACTTATTCGCCTGGAGCGAATCGGGAAGTCAACCGTTGAGCACCCCCCCCATGCACCATGCAGAAATCCCCAGATTCAAGCTCTACGTAGCTTCTCCAGCCTGGGACGAATCCTGCCATCACTGCCACTCAGTGCCAAGAATACTTGGGGTGGGAGTATCAGGAATCTCACCCAGCAGAAGACAAATATTTGGGGCAACTATAAAAGCAGCTGGACCACAGAGAGAGAGGAGAGGGCTAGAGATTTTAACCCCTGACCGGGCTCTTTCTAAATTATTGTTCTTAGTGGACTTGAACAAGGTGGAATGAGAGATGGCCACCGCCAGCTGTTCTCTGAACAGAACTTGGCGAAGGTCTGGATCCTGGTGCTTTAATCCAAAGGGAGAACTTGCCCAAACTGAGCTTCTGGGGCCGCAAACCGGTCAGGATTCTACCACCTCATTGCGCGTCCCGGCTAGGCCAGCTGATGGGAACCAAGCGTTATTATGTGTGAACCAGCTCCAAGGGTCCGGACGTTGAATGCAGAAAACCGAAGCGGTCTCTATAAGAAGATGAATAATCTTAGAACGGCAGAGCAGGAAGGGACCCCACGGATCAGTCCCTGTCAACGAGGCCCGGGAGGGATTCAAACTCCCAACCTCTGCCTAAACCACGGAGCGACCCAGCAGTACGACCCTCGCAAGGGACAACCGGGCCTTCTTGGAAGATCTGGATGTCAATAAAAGGAAAGGCCCGCGGCCCGAAGAGAGGACAGGGTGTCGCCGAGCCCCAAGGAAAGGCCGTCAAGGATCGGAGATGATCCTACCGCCGCCCTCCCCCCCGGGAACGAGGAGGCAGCCACATTCTGGTGAAAAGCCGGAAGCAGAGGTTTGAGCGTTGTCTTTCTGGGGTCAACAGCCGCTCCCCTTAAAAACCAGACAGACGAGAGTGGATTTGTCAAGAATCCTCTTGGCCACAAGGGCGGTTAGTGAAACATCGCCACTCATGCAAGGGCGAGCAGCAGGATGAGGCCTGAACGGACTGCCAGCACCCACTGGGTGGAAACGGTTACCGGCCCGACGAGGAGGAGGAAGCACAGGGGCCGCTTCTCGGATCGGGTCCCTCCTGACCAAAAAGCGGTCTCCGAGGCACACGACCATCATCTCGGAGAATAGTCCTCTGGGACTCCTGTCAGGTTGCGGAGTTTCAGCGCCGCGTCCACCGTCCGGATGTAGCCGTCGATCGTCCTCCTCATTTCGGGCGTGTAGGGGTCGTACTCCAGCTTCCGCAGGCCGGAGCGTTTGAAGTTCCCGTCCTTCTGGCCCTCGACGCACAGGAGGCGGTCCTCCTGGACAGGGGTGCCCAGGAGGCTGACCATCCTCTTGAGCTGGACGAAGAGATCCCGCTTGAGGTCTTCGAAGTGGACCACCAGGACACGCTTGCCAAACTTCAGCCAGTCCAGGGTGTGGGTTGCCCACCACGGGGCATAGTTCTTGACAAATTCGGGCCACTCTGAAAGAGGAGAGAGGGAAAATCCCCTGTGTTAGTCACCAGGCATCAGGGCATCATCCTAAACAGCGTTCAGAGGGAGAGAGGACTTTGATTCACTTGATGTCCATGATGAAACCCAGGCCCTGACCCGTCTCAGACCAGCAAAGGTCTCAGAATTTGGAACAGTTCCTATCCTGGACTACATTTCCCAGAATACACAGCCACTGTGAGCCCTGAGCATGGGAAATGTAGTCCAAGAAAAAGCATTTCAGGCCTAAGATGTTCTGGCAATTGTAGGCCAAAATACCCAAACCAGACATTTTTGGGCTCTAGAAATGATCGGCCAATTTTAAAATATCAGAAGGAGGTTGACTGGTTTCCCCTGTAAAGCATTCCAGAGAAGCAGCAGCTGCTCTATATTATATATATGGTTTTCAATTTTTAATTGTTTTTAACTTTTTCCTCTTTTATCTATAAAAGGCCTGAAGTTTCAATTGGGCAGTTTCAAAGCATCGTTGAAAATATAAAAAGAAATTAAAAACCAGACGGACAGGCATTCGTTGGCTCGGATATTTGAAACAGCATCCGGCCAGCTTCTGTTTTTCATTTTGACCACTGCCAGGACGGATCCACGGCCCTCCTTCCCCGCCTGACCTAGCAGAAAGAGGTCTCCGTGGTTTCAGATTCATCTAGATCTACATACAGGCAGATCTATACGCACATCGGCCCGTATAGGGGTTATCTGTTTTGTTCCATGGCATTAATTTTTACGACTTCCCCTGGAACAAGTCCAAAGCAAAGTTTTATGTGCGATAATGATGCACGGTGAAGCGTCCCATTTCCACGCAATGAAACGGAGACTCAGTTCAATAATTCATGGTGGAGGGTGGGATGACAACCTGCCGCATGATGCTTTTCAGGGTTGGGGGATGGCAAGGGAATGTACTCCTTTCTCAACGGAGGGTGAGAATGGAGACCAACAGGGGAGTCTCTAATCTGAGACTTAGAACCTGTTCTAATTTCAGATAAGAGTATTCTGCTCTTCATCATCCTTTTTATCGCCTGCTTTGAAGGTGAGGATCAATGAGCAAGAAATCTCAGAGGTAAACAGAAGAATTGACATGTCTTCAGGGCAGGCTTAATGGCCCCCAGAACACATTGGCAAAGCAATACCACGGCTTCTTAAGGAAATGATTCACTATCATGGACCGATTTTTTTTTTCATTTTCATTTAAGGAAAAAGCCACTCATGAGTAAATGGAAAGAAGGAGAATCGAACAACGGGAACCTTTTTCTTTTTTTGGATAGCAACTTCCACCGGACATGATGGGAAGGGAATTCTGGGAGTCGTAGTCCAAAAACTTAAAATTTCGAAGCCAGGGAGGATCCACCACAATGATATCTTATAGGGGTAACGTATAGAGCTGTAGTTCCCAACCTGGGGTCCCCAGGCATTCTTGGACTACAACTTCCAGAAATCCTGGCTAGCACAGCGAGCGATGAAGGCTTCTGGGAGTTGCAGTCCAAGAACACCTGGCACATGAGGTTGGGAACCAGTCATCTACGTAGAAAACAAGGCGCTGGAGGAACATGGCCTCCCTACCTACCTTTTCCCCTCCAGTGGGCATGGGACGCGAACCCAAGGTGGCCGCCATATTTCCGGTTGAATTCGGCCATGAGTGCTTTGTACGGGTTGCGGATCAGCAAGATGGCCGCGTCGAAGGCCTCGATTTCCTTCTGCCCACTCTCGTGGGTCTTGATGCAAATCGTCCTCCCGCTTCGCCAGTGGTCTCGTTCGCCTTTAAACCCTGGCAAGGAGGAAGGGATGAGAAGGGGAGCTTTAGAAGGGTAAGTAAAGCAAGGAATACATTACAGAAACAGCCGATCGCCCTACATCATTTAGAGGCCCTCTAAACACCCGTGTGCTTGTGAGGGTTCGATGCTTTGGCTCACGGTTTCCTGCCCTGAGAAGTCGGGGGTCAGACTAGATGGCCTTTGAGGAACCTTCAAACTCTGCAGTTCCCTCTTTCTGCGATCCTCCGAGTCAGCCACATCTCCTTGGCCCCAGAATGGGTCGAACAGCCACCAGCTCTATGACTTTCTCTGTGTGTAATCTTTCGCATCAAGGAAAGCTAATTTCCCAGAGGCCTCCTTGAGATCCATATGCTGCGAGGGTCATGAGCGTCCGTCCTCGGCAGGGGCACTTCCATGAGGTTTGTAAGTCAAGGGAACCACCGCAATGCAGAAGATGCAGGTCCCCGGAAGCATCCTTAAAAGTCATGGATGGCCCTAGAAAAACACATTACGGGATCAAGCTGGCCAGTGCCTTCTCGCCGTCCTGGCCTCCCTCTTCGGCAGGTAAATCCACCTGAACACCATCGTCCAAGGAAAACAGGACACGGTGACCATGCTCGGAAAAGTCCCTTGTCTGGAGGTGTTCTTATTTCCGTACGCTGAGCTGGGTTTCACGATTTTCTCGGGTCAAGTAGAGGAGAAAATATCTTTTTTTAAAAGATTGCCTATGCTTCGCAGGATATTTTAGGATGATGCCAAACCTCTACGGGACTATCCCACTGGGTTTGCACATTTTGTCAAGAGGTGCTCAGCCGGCTTCCTCTCAAGTAGATCCAAAGGTTTCGGTGCAAGACAGGGAACCCGGGAAAGACCAAGGCCTCCGATCAACATTCTGAACCGACTCGAACAGCACAAATCCATCTCCATCATCACGTCACTTCAGGAGAGACAGATCAAATCACGGGGCTCCAAAATGCAGACAAAATGGAATGCTTGATCAATCTGTAGCCCAAAACAGACCGCCCACGCCGCGAAGCCTTCAAACACCTCATCTTGTTCCTTAATTTGACAAACGAGACGCCGCGTTGTCATATTCCGGTGAAACAAAATTCCTCCCAGCCAGCTCTGTTTCCAAGAATACATGAAGGAGGAACGGTTCACGTGTTCCTTAACGAGCAGCGATGGTATGGGTTGGGTTTTATTTTTTTCTGGCACTGAACAGAAGGTTTTTCTTCTCAAAGAAACGCTTCCTGCCTGAGGCGAATAAATATACTAATTGAAGAGTTACCAGAACGAGCCGATGCAGGAGGAGGTCTGGTTACTGATGCTGGTTTGTTTAGCGCCGCCTCCCGAGTGAATTTCAGCCCTCTTGGTGGCTGTTTCTGATCCACTGAGACAGGGCGCCATAATCCGGTGATTCACCAGGATTTGCACGGCTTCCATCTAACTTTCAGCACACCAAAGTGTCTTTCTGCCAGGATCTGAGAGTTTTAAGTGACGAAGCTTGCACGAAAATGGAACGTCCATGTAATGAAATGGCCAGGGTTGCACAAGGCACTTCATAATCCCCACCCAGATTTCCGCTGTGGGTTTTAGTCCGAACTTGAAAGGTGATAGATTGCTCCCAACAAGTTCAAACGAAAGAGCACATTCTTTATCTTGACAAGACTGGAATCCCCCAGCCTTTGCCGGCGAAAGGGAAGGAAAACCCTCACCTTTGTTATAAAGAGAGCCGTCGAAGTAGTAGCTGCCAGTGTAGAAGCCCGTGGCGAGTTCGATGAGGTGTCGCGCCCAAGTGTTCCCGGCCCCAGGAAAGCTGGCGAGGGCAACAAACTGCTTTGCCCGAGCTGTTAAAAATCTTCGGTCCATACACCGGTTGTCTGCAAACCAAGGCAGGATTGGGAATTTAAGAGTTCTTATAAGAAGAAACCACGTACACAAGATCAATCATCCAGGGAATTCCCTCCCAGCCGTTAACCTTCACAGGATTGGCCCTTTCTACACCCTGAATTTGCAACCTCTGTGCAACGGGTCAAGCAGAAGAGAGCCAGCCATTGAGTGGAAACTCATTGCACACTTATGCTAAATCAAGTGGTTTAGGTCCGCCCAACTTTCACAGATGGAAGACTAACTGTTGTGTATTGGCCTACAGATGTTTTCCATTGGCTAACTAACTTTCCTATTGCTCTCCTCTGACCCTCTGCATCTCCAAACAGTTGCTCGCCGAGATGCCAGGGACTGGACTGAGAAGTTAGAACATGCCAGGATTGGGAATTTAAGAGTTCTTATAAGAAGAAACCACATATACAAGATCAATCGTCCAGGGAATTCTCTCCCAGCCGCTAACCTTCACAGGATTGGCCCTTTCTGCACCCTGAATTTGCAACCTCTGTGAGATCAAAACCCCGCCGAGATGCCAGGGACTGGACTGAGAAGAGCGGATCAGGAAAACTAGCGCTGTAGCGCTGAATCTCTAGCCACTCCATCCTCGGCACGAAGCCACCGATCCAGCTGCTTCTCCTTACCTTGCACTTGAGTCTGGTAGACGATGAAATATTTAGAAGTGCCGCAGCTTTCGAACTCCTCGCCGCTGCATTTCTGGGCGCAGAGCTGTTCATCTTCCCGGTCCCGCAAGGCGAAGAGGGTGGTGGGGAAACCGCAGTGGCAGGAGTTCCCAGCCAGGGCGGCCAGTGGGTATTCCTGCCAGGAGAAATGGAGGGGGAAAGCTTCTCATACTCCTAGGATCATGGAGTTGGAAATAGCCTAGAAGGCCATTGGGTCCAATCTCCTGATCATCACAGCAATCCTATTGTGCCTCTCAGCAGTAGGATGATGCAGAAGGAACAAGAGAGAGAGCGTGCTAGATCCGTTTGAATCCTGCCTCGATCCTGAAGCTCTCTGGATGACTTCATGTCACTTGTCATCTCACCTACGTTGCAGAATTATTGCAAACACCAAACAGGACCAAAGAACGTTGTGGGTTCTAAAATGTGTATTTCCCCAGCAGGAAAAGGGAACTGGGCTCAGCTGGAAATCAAGAAATGATAGCGGAGTTGGTATGAAGCCACGCTGAATGCCATATAGGGATGACGCCTCTACAGCCGGTGGCTCCAATTTCCGGGGAGTGGTGAATCCCCTCTGGGTTTGCGTCCGAACTGGAGAGGAGCACTATAAAGTACTTGAACCTCTCGGCACCGCCGGCTCCTCTAAAGTTCGGCCTAAAACCCAAAGGGTGTTCTCCCACGCCTATAAAACCGAATTCATTGCCCCAAAATAGGGTCTGGCGTTTTCTCAGCTGTGCACCGGACTTTATTTTTCTGGGTCATCTCCACCCACCCACCCCCAACTTTCGTGGCTCAGATTTCCCATGTTTCCAGCAACAACCGGGCAGCCCGCTCTGATCCCTGCTTCCACCCGACCCTGCCTTCCACCTCAAAGCAACAGAGAGGTAATTGCCGGTGCTGGCAAGGAGTAATTTACTGGTGCCAGGAGTTTGACTGCCCAGCTTATGACGCCCCTTTCAAAATCATGGCCCAACAGCGCTGGGATAATGGGGGAGTTTGTCACCGGAAGCAGGCTGCTAAAAGGAGCGTACTTCATCCCTTGCTCTTCCTCAAGACTTATAACGCGCAGAGTTATGAAGACTGCGGAGAACCTGACAGGTAATTTAATAGCTGGGGATGCACGGATGGAGGGCGAGACACGGCCACGTGGCGATCAACCTCCATGGAGAGCAGGAGGGGAAGAGCAGGTCACCCAAAAGCGATGAAAATGGCCACGACATGGCGGGAAGCATTTCCATTTAGTAGGAAATTAATGCTGGGGTTTTAATCCGCTTGTTTTCCTGGCCTCCAAGCCGGGGAGTCTCTCCCACGTGGCTTCGGGGGACCACTGGAGCCCCCCCCCAGCTCCTTACCTTCGCAGTGCAGAAATCCACGCATCGGTCCACGGACATGTTCTTCATCGGTTTGCTGGCAGGTAAAGCCAAGGAGATGTTCTCCGGCCGGCGAAAGCATCCGCGGAAAATGGCGCTGCCATCTGCGGGAGGGGAGAGACAGAAGCCGGGGTCAAGGTGATGGGTGGAGGCAAACCACTCCTCGTTGGAGGAATCCACAGAGGATGCTTTCCAAAGCCCGTGAGCTCACAGCCAGAGAAACGGCTTTGGTTTTTGTAAGGGGCATCCATGTTAGTGTGTTCCAGCAAAACCGATCAAGAGTCTTGTGGCATCTGGAAGCCGGTCAGGTTTTCCCAAGCTCAAACTTGGGTGGGTATTAGCGGCTACACCTCAGATGCAGGGAACAAAGCCTCTGAGGGAGATGATTGAACAGAGGTGGGCTACAGCGCATTACAAAACCTTACACCCAGGACAACTCCGTAGTCTTCAAGGTTCCACAAAATTCTTTGTTGGCTCCCCACTCCCCCAGAGCCACTCAATTCTCCTTCTGAACTGTGGATCAATAATCCCCTTTTTCACGAATGTGGCCAGCACAGTTTAGCCCTTGACCCTTAAGGGACTTTAACCAAGGAGCCGGAAATCCTCAACCCTCCTAGGCAGAAGACAGGATTCAGCACCATGGTTAGCTCATGTAAAGTTCAGATCAAAACCCAGAGCGGCCCCACCACCCTGGCAAAATCAGACGCACCAGAGCCAACATCAGCTCGGCAACCGTTCTGATCCCACCATTTCCCATACAAACCAATGTTGAAATTGGCTTTCTCATGACCCATCTTTCAATAAGCGTATTGCACAGACAGGGAGCATAATATCCTAATGTTGCCATGAAAGGGGGAAAGACCCCCACACAAGAAATCAAGAACCCTCTTTTGCCTTTATCGTGGGCTCCTCTCTTCCCTGTTTCTCTTAGGGTTAGCAACATGCTACCCTGAATCCCCCCCATCCTTCCGCATTGTTAGTCTGGCTGCTGAGGACAGATGGAAACTCAAGGCCGAGAACGCCAGGTGAGCCAAAATGTCCTCTGCCCTTTATAGACATTTCTCTCCCCTCTGACCAGGACAGCAAGCGCGACTTACACCTCCGAGCAGATTCCTGGGCCAGCTCCAGGCGGTAGATGGAGAGCCGGTTCACTCCCCCACAGATGTTGCTTTTCTCTCCCTTACACTCCATGTTGCACTCGGAATCACTGACGTTGGCGCCCTGGATTTTGTGGCCGCAGTAACACTCCGCTCCAAACTCCAGCCCCGCGTAGAGGTAGCCCCTGGCAAAACAGAGAGGCAGCGTATTTCATTGAGACCGTAGTAGTGGTCAAAGTCAACACATTGATACATGGGGGGAGCCATTTGGACTGCCCACCCCATCATTCTCCATCCTGGAAGTTCGACCGGACCCACACATTCAGATCCCAAAATGTGGCTCGCCTGGAGGAAAGGCCTGGCTGGTTGGTTTCATGGCCAAGGATAGGCCTAGCTTCCTGTTAGAAAAGGAAGCAGCCTCAAGGCTTACTGGGAAGTCTTCTTTTTCTAACAGGAAGCACAATGGAACGAGGCCTAGCCTAGGCCACGGAGCCTGCTAGCTGGGCCTTTTCTCCAGGCGAGCCGAATTTTGGTCTCTGCAGTCATGGATCTGTCAGGTCGAATGGTCAGAACAGAGAATTATCAGTTTACCAGTCAAAAAAAAATCTCAACCAGCAAAGGGGGGGGTTTTGATAATCTGGATGACACGAGACCCCCTTTTAGCGTTACAGTATTTAGAACCAGTGGGATTCTTTGTCCCCTTTGAACACTCCGTCAGTCCTTCTGCACTTCCAGGGTGTGTGTGTGTGTGTGTGTGTGTTTTGTTTTTTGTTTTGCTTATCAGTGAGGAGAGGACACGTTTTCCCCACTGAGACCGTTTGCCCTTATTATGCAAGACGATGACAAGAAAAATCGGTGTTCCTCGTCTCTCTCTCGCCTGGAGACAAGGCAACTTGTGGGGTCTGAAAATTTCTCACCAAGGTATATCCAAAATACCTCGAGAGAGCCGAAATTAAAGGGAGCAAAGCACCTGACAAGCATTGCTTGCTTCTATAAATCAGGGCAACATCTCCCTTTCTGGGGAGCTTTCCGAGGTCCTGAATTTGCTGCTACCAAGAGCTGCTGGCTGGACGATGCCTGCTCCAAATCAAATCAGTACCATGATTAATCAATGTGTCACTTTTGCTTAACCAAACCAGATCAAAGAATTTCAGGGGACTCGGTGCAAGGGTTTGATTTAATGTTTCTGCAAAAGACTCGATTCACAGTCTGGACCTCCCGCTTCTCTCTTTCTGCCGAGCGGCAGATTACTTGTCTCACCAGACGGCCCGACCTTTATAATATAACTCCAGCAACTCATATCCACCCACGTCTGCAAGGTCATTTCCATTGCAAACGAGGCCGTGCATCCTCCCTCCCAACCCCCGAGAGTGAGAAAAAATTGAATCTTTCAAAGCCCGTTGGGTTTTGAGAATATGAGAGAGGAAGAAAATCAGCCATTGGCAGGAGAGAGAGAGAGAGAGAGAGAGAGAGAGAGTCAAACCACCGGAGCTGACAAGAGAGAAATACACTCGGCGCGGCAGAATTAATGAAGTCCCCCCTGTTCGTTTGCCGCCCTACCGTTCGGCACAGTTGTCCTGGCAACGAAACAAAGTCATTTTTTTATAGTCGAAAAAGGACACTCCACGCAGGGCCCGGCGGCGGGTGTTGTCGACGTAACAGCCGATGTATTTTGCTGCCGAAAAGAGGGGAGGGGAGAAAAACGTTAAAAACCGCCATAAAAAAATTAAATCCGTCGAGAAATTGTTGAAGTAGAGAAAGAGAGAGAGAGAACATAAACAAGTCACCCCGCGGGTGCCAAAGATTCGGGAAAGAATCTGAATGGCAACGTAGAGGTTGCAGCTTGATCCCTTCCAGATTTGTTGGTATGGACCCACAAATTACCCGGGAAATTCTGAGGGAGGTGGACAAAAATACATCATTCCACACACTTCTGCCTGATTTCACCTCGAAGCGGCGTCCTTGCCAAACCACCCCAGGGGACCAAAGGATAATGCTTAACCCTCAGCCGTGACCTCAGCCTCTTCAGCTGCTCACCACCTCTGTCTGCCAGTGGCCAAACTCAGCCTCCGATGGCAGATGACGTGAGACCCTCTCTCTCCTGTGTTTACTACCCTGAGGAGTTGTGCGGGAAGTTGGCTTTAAATGGATTACGGGGAAAGACAACCCTCTTTCGAGCACCCAGTGCCCAGAGTTCAAAGTGGTGACTAGCACGGCTGTTCCCCGGGTATTTTCTGTCCCTTCTAAAAAGAGACTTTGTAAGGCCTCCTGGCACAGAGGTTAAACTGCAGGACTGCACTGAAGACTCTGCTCACAACCTGGTTTGAGCCTGGCGGGCTCCGGTCACTGGCTCGAGCTCAACTCAAACTTCCAGCCTTACAGAAAAATTCATATTTTTTTTTGCAAATAAATAAATTATGTGGTCACCACCACCTTGCAAAATTGTGCAATTGGTGTAATTACTAAATTTGCAGGGATTTGATAAATTGTCCAGATCTAGAATGACCACGCCTTTGTTTAAGGATTCAAAGCCCCGGATGGGGTGTTTGTTTCTTTTTTTAGCAATCTGAACCAGTCCTTCTCTATCTTCTGCGCATACGTTCTTTGCTTCTCGGAGGAAAAAAAGCCACACTTATTTTGTCCTTGTACAGACACACTCCACGGATCGGAACGAGGAATCTAATCTGTTTTTCCCTCCACTCCTGTTCCAGTTGGCATCCCAGAGAAATTAAAATGGTGCGGCCTTGCTCAGAAACTCCCCAGCCAGCCAGACTGGATAGACCTTGTATTTTTTGTGATGAGATCGAATTCTGTTCTCTGGTCGCAGCCTGCAATGAAACACCCCTCTCTCCCTCCACCCTGCGGAGGATTCGCACGACAAACCACACTCAGCTGCGCTCACATGTCAGCTCAGCGGTCCAGAAGCTCTCTCGGGCGACGCCTCTCCATCTTGTTGACTTCAGCAGGTGCCCCTCCACACACGCACACACGCATGCACACACTGCCCTGACTCAATAAAGCACGCAACAGGGGTCTGTTGGGAAGCCACCCGGACTTGCGTGTGTGTGCGCGCGCAGGCTGTTTGTTCAGCGAAGTGTGGCTACTGCCATTCCTTACGCCGATTAAAAGAGTGGGCCTGGCAGGGTGAGGAGGAGGTGAGAGGCAGTCGTGCTGGGGAGTCAGATGCAGCGCTGGAAGCCGTTAAAGCCCTGCCTATTAATATAGCCCGACTCAGGGCCTGCAGGGTTTTTGAGGAAGGCAGAATTCGGGCCCAAGGCGCAGAGCTGTCAGAATATCACTCACTGAACAGACCTCTCTCTCTTTCTCCCTCCTACCCCCCACCCCCCCACACATACACATTTCTTTCAAAGACTGATTTTTCAGACATGGAACTCTGCCTGAATCACAACTCTCCGCCATGAACTGTAGAATCAGCTCTAGGGATGGGTTGCCACACTGTGGCTGTTTCTGCCCCATCTCTCTCTCTCTCTCTCTCTCTCTCTCTCTCTCACACACACACACACACACACACACACACACACACACACACACACGCACGCACGCACACGCACACGCACACGCACAGGAACAGGTGCAGCCTTAGATCCTGGATCCAAGCTAAATTTCAGCTGATTCCCAGAGGTATTGATAGCCTTTTAGATTTCTGTGCCCTGGAAATTCGACAGACCATGGACACTCCCACAGACACACACACACACACACACTCTGCCCCCCCCACCTCGAATGAGCACAGATTGGAGCTCACTCCTTTTTGGGGGCAGAAACAGACAGAAGTGAGACAGAGAAAGGATCCTGACAGGTTCCTTCCCTCTTACCAAGGTGCAAGCTCCGTGGAAAGGAGGCACCAGAATCCGCTCTGAGTTTTCATCCAAACTTGACCGACTGCTCCGTGAAGCAATAGACCAGATCCTCCAAAGAGTGGCTCGGCATCTCAAGGGGGGGCTTGTCTAATGTTTGGACTAAAACCCCAAGTGGCGTTCACTATTTCTGCGAGGGCAGAGGCACCCACCACCACCGTTTGCTCTAGGGACTGTTGGAAACGATCCACACACACACACCACCGCCACTTTAACCACGTCTTAATTAAAAAGCTCCGAAAACCAAGGCCGCTGTCACAAGTGTTACGGACACAACGGTCCCTGGCCCAGTGATGTGCTCCCCGCCATCATTCCCCCTCCCTCCCTCCCTCCCTCTCCCTCTCTCCATTTCCTGAAACCCTCCACCGCCTGTCCACAGCACCATCCATCACAGTGACAGCCCCGTTTAGCCGCAGGCCGATAACAAATCCAGAGAGCGGCTCTCCCGCATACCGACAACTCTCTGATTCACTGCGTTGGGCTGGAGGCAGAAAAAAAGGGCCTTCGTGGTCCTCTACCTTCGTGCAAAAAACCCCACAAAAATTGGAAAGGGGAAAAAACTGAAAACTTCCATCCTTCGTGGTTTGGAAACGGCCGCACAAGACATGGGGTGCAAGCCCAGCCAAAGTAGGGCTCCTCAAGAGTCCCTGGGACCACCACCCCGGCTGGGTTTTGCCCCACGCCAGGGCACCACAGCGTACGGTTTGGGAACCACTGGTTCAGTGGGGTCGAGTGGTTGGGAAGCCTCATTCAGTCTTAGTCCTATTCAATTCGGGTAGGTTTTTTTTGGGGGGGCAACTTCCATTGTTGGCCAGGGCCAGTCAGAAGAATCCTGAATCCTGTTGTTCCATGGATGGAGTGTCAATGCTTTCCTTGTGTCCTTCCACCACATCCCCGGCTCTTGCCCCACTGACAGTGCGGAGAACTCACTGGGAAGAACAGGGCCGATGCATGCACCAAAAAAATCCTTGAATTCCTTCTGGTGCCAGCTTGGAAAAAAAACCTAGTCCTTTTGTGCAAGGGACTCTGACATGCGCAGGTCCAAGGACTCGTGGTTCTGCATTGCTCACTGTAAAAGCTCTTCCTGTCGGTTATTAAGCCTTAGAAGAAGCACCCCATCCTTTTAGAACAGAGGGAATCGATCCTATAAAAATCTGGGGAAATCTGGGGAACAGCAGACGATGCAACTGGGACTCCGGATAAGCTGGATGAGACTCCAAGCTCTACCCCATGGTCTAACTTGACTCCCTTCTGTTGCAGCCCAAAATCAGAACTTGGAAAAGCTGCTTTATGAACAGCCACCTCAATTTTTTAAAGTTCTGGGGGTTTTCTAGCTCAAAAGAGTCCCGGCCTTAGACCGGCCGGCAATTCTTGGCTCCCTCTCCCCTCTCTCCCTTTATATTCTCACACGCTGCGGAAAAGCGCGGTCTTGACAGTGGCCGTCCATGCAACGACGTTGACGGGGTGTCGTGTTTTGCCAAGAGCTCGGTCGTGGCTTGAGGCTTCTTTTCACCTGTTGTGCCTAAATTCTGGAGGCCTAGCTGGGCAGAAGGGCAAGGCATATGTGCAATAAATAAATACAAAGCTGTGCGGCCTTCTGCGCTTTGCAAAGTGGCCAACGACAGGAGCAAACACACGCCTAGGAAGTAAGATTTGCATCTGTTGTGGATCACCTTTACTGAGAGTCAATGAAGGAAAGCTTGCAAAAGACCGACGCCGCCCATTTGCATGGAAGGGCCGTGTTCTGTCCCCAGGCCGCTCCTAAACCCCCGCACCTCCGTCATTAGGAATCAGCAGCCGCCCTCTCGGAGGTTAATTGTGGTGGACACCTCGCATATGGCTGGGACCGCCACAGCCACCCCCACGCCCCACCCTGTGTAGTCACCGATGGTTGATTCTCACTTACCATCTGGTGGAGATGCTCTCAATGTCAATTCAAATTAAACTAATGAGCAAGGCCGAAGACGTTCCGGGAACCAGTGTTCCCTGTGTTCTTCTGAGAACACGGTAACGAAAGCTCACCGGGAGGGAGAACCAGGGATGGCCGCCCCTGGTTTGGGTGGGAACATGCCATGCCACCTCCAGGATCCGCTGATCAGTTTGGGATCCGGGAAGGAAAACCAGGGCCGGTGGAGGATTTTGCTCCCTTATGGAGGGGAAGCGATCAACAGAAGCCCACTTTTTGTGATGGATCACACATGGGGGGGGCAGAGCGTGAGTGCTTTAATGGCGATCCCTCACAACCACTGGCCTCTGTAAAAGAATGTGGCAGCGCAGTTCCATCTCAGCTGGCCAAACATTCCCCTGCCTGGTCGCTTATCCACTCACTTCCCCTACCAGTGTGAGCCAATCTTTCATGGCTGGCCATCACACATTCATAAACCTCACCAATCTTTGAGTTTTCACTCGTTTTTACTCCCCTTTGGGTTGTTGTTTTTTCTCTCTTTATGGTTTGTTCCGTTCCGTCAAGGTCTAGCCATTAGCTTTGGGATTCTGGGGAATGATTTCCAAACAAGGGTTGTCGTTGGTCTCTGAGTATACCCAGCAAGAGGCCTGAGCCAACCTTGTAGCTTTTTCCACGTCTTCCTCTTTTCTGACCGTTCCCAACACTTTTTCACGGATATAAAAGTCTTCCATGGTCGGCCCGGAGATGTGGAGGGTGCTCTCGCATTTCCAACACCTCGCCGAGGAAGGTGACAGGAAGGAGGGAGCCAGAATCGGAGAAGAGCTTCCTGGCCGGATATTAAATGAAATTGCACAGTCGCTAAAGCTCCTCCTCTCCTATCTTCTTCTGTTCCCTCGCTCTCTCAAAAAAAAATGAACGTCCTGTCAGGTAGAGTAAATGAGGCCTTCAGAGATGCTAAGTGCTCCACAGACAACTCCCATAAGTCACCAGTCAAAGATGCCATCAGCCAAGCCGGCGGAAGGGGAAGAAGAGAACGTGCGGCTTTCCGGGCTCACAAAGAAGCTGCACAGAGCAATTTCATGGAAAACGGAACCCTCCTTTCTCCTCCCCTCCCCTTCGTCACCACGAAACCTATCGGGACCCCTGAGCCGTTGCCTGCTAAGATGCTCCCAAATCTTGGAATGAAGCCACAGCTCGCTTCCAGAGCACAGGAAAAAAACGGGAAACCAAGAAGCTGCCCGTGGCCTCATTCTGCAACGTTCTCCTACCCCTTAAAAACATTTATATATGATTCCATAGATGATGTTGTACAGGAATGAAACTTGTCCAAGCTCTGTGTGTTGCAGTACCAAAATATACTCAAGCAGCTACATTTCTGCAGGCGGGGAGTTTTTCCAAGCGCTGGCTCCGATCCAGCCGTGCAGCTCTACTCATTAAATAAACCACTTCCCTCTTCCTTTCGCCTCTCCCCGACTGTTTGTTTCCCTGCACCAACGCAACAACCATCCACGCGATTCACTTGCTCAGATCGAGCCCTTCATTCGAAGATGATGCTTCGCCCTTCCTCTAGAAACGAGATCTCCCCAAACCGGATGCCTCAGCACTCAGACTTGTAGATGAAGCCCGTGTTTACCTCCCAGCAGCCAATCACAAAAGAAAGCAAACCAACATGCAAGATACAGACGCCGAGGAGAGAGAGAGAAAACACACAATGATGCTAGCAATAAGAGACATATTTTGCAACTTTAAAGAGATGTTGTCAGAACCATAAAAATAAACAACATTTTAGGATCCACTGACCCAGCATGCCATTTTGATGGGCAGTTCCCAAATCCCAACCTTTATAATCCTGAGAGAGAAAACACACAATGATGCTAGCAATAAGAGACATATTTTGCAACTTTAAAGAGATGTTGTCCGAACCATAAAAATAAACATTTTAGGATCCACTGACCCAGCATGCCATTTTGATGGGCAGTTCTCAAATCCCAACCCTTATAACCCTCAAAAGAAACATTACCTCGGTCTTCCTCCTTCTCACGGATGTTCCTCCCCTTCAGGGCCCTGCTCCAGGTCCCTCCATAATCTCCTATTTTGGTCCTCCCCGGGGCATCTTTGGAAGGGGTCTTAAACCAGGATCCATACCTCCGGGCGGTCGTCAAGGACTCCGGCCTTTCTTTCGCCTCTCTGCCCAGCGCCACCGTCCCCAAAGACTGGGCATCAGTTCCAGCTCCGGGAGCAGCCTCCCCGGCACGGGCATCATTCTCCGCCACCCGGGCACCTCCCCCGAAGCTGGCGTGGAGGAAGACCAGGCTCCCGGCCGCCAGGTAGAGGGCGATCAAGGTGAAGAACCGAAGGGGCCTCCGCCGGAAATATCTTTGGAACTTCAGCAGGAGCTTGGCCATGCTGGCGTCATTACGTCCCTGGATTGGGGCCCGAATCCAGGACGCAGAACATACAGCAGGTCACAGATTCGACCCCACGTTCCCAGGGCGGTTCAAGGAACAACGTTGGGTCCTCAAGACCACCTGGTAGCCGAGCGATCCTTCATTGCCGACGGCTCTGGTCTCTGCCTTTGTGGATCCAATATTCCATGGGGTGTCTCCGATGGGGTGCAAAAGGGTCCCACCACCCCACAGAGGGCCCCAAAGAAGTCAACTTCAAAAAGAGGATGTGTGTGTGTGTTTTTCCCCCCCAGGGAGTAGACCGGCTCTAAGGCGACGCTTCCTTTCTCAAACCATCATTCTCGTTCGGCGCCACATCCCTCCTCTGCCCTCCAAAGGATTCCCCCCAAGAGATGCTGTCCATGGAAGGATCATGTTTGAGAATCCGGTGGGATACAAAGGCCGCTTGAAAGCCGATCGTTCCTGGCGCGGCTTCCCACGCCGGCTTTTAGTCCGAGGGAGCAGGTGGCCTCTGATGTCTGTCTCGAACCGAAGAGGCCGGCTCGCCTTTTCTTTTCCTCGGCGAAAGGATGTAGAGGGACCCGGGGACGGCTCTCACTTGAAAGGAATGGCTGGAAGGCTCGCTCAGCCAAGCCCTGCTCATTGCTGCCTGAGCATCAGAAGGAGAAAACTCTACCTGGAAGTCAAAGGAGGAGGGGGGGAAGAAAAAAGGAAGAGAGATTGATCCGTGAGGCTGGCGACCAAAGAATTCTTATTTCAAACCCAACCATTATTCCAAACCCCAGCCTGTCTCTTCTCTATCTGAAGGAGGGTCGGCAGCCACACGCTCCCTGAGATGCCAGCCCAAACCCTGAGCCTGAGGGCCAGAACCTAAGATGTAGCAAACTGCACATTTGGAGGGAAGGGTTATTTCTCCCGGTTGACCCGTTTTTCCTTCTTAGGATCTCCTCAGGGTTATTATGAGCCCACTTGCCAACTGAGGTGTGCAAATGAAGCCCGTGTTTATCATCCGGGAAGTCGTCACAAAGCCAAGCCCTGCTAAATGCAAGATCTGGAGGTGCAGAAAACCACACGGCTCTTTCACCCCTTGAGGGAGCAGATCTTCGAAAAGCCTGCCAAGTCGCTGTCTCGTTTGACCTTAAGACATTATCGGTGGCTCACAGGCTAGCCTCTTTCATGTATAGATGCAAACCGGCATAGTGTTTCACAGCTAAAGGGGGACACTAAAGAAGCATTTTTTGAATGTTGCAAGAATCCCAACAGGAATCGGAAATGTTCCTCTTAACCTGCTTCTCTCACATTCCCAAGCTGGGTGTCCGAAAAGTCGCAGGGGGTTAAACACCTACTTCTTCCGAAGCTGAGATAATTCACTTTCTCTGCCTCCCACTTATTTACTCTGTCGAAAGAAAGAAAGGAGGAAAGATGGCAAAAAGTTTAAAAATAACTAAGAAGAAAATAAATGGAGAACACTGAATGCCATTAGTTTAATGGGGCCTAATGTTCCACCATCTGTCTCCAGATGATTAAGTAAAAAATATCGCCGGTACAGACAGCGCCGAGTATAAATAAATGTTTTAATTCTGCTTCCTCGTGTAATTATTCAAAGCGGGCTCGCTCACTGAAGTGTGAAGTTTTACTGCAATCAACTTTCGGGGTCCTTCTCTCCCTTGATTAAAAGGAGAATGGCGACGGAGGACGAGACTTCCAGAAATTTCTCCACCAGCCTCTGGGGAAAAGGGGGCCGCGATTTTTCTCCCCGGCTGTGAGACAGGCAGAACTTCAACAGGTGCAGGGCGGAAAAGGTCCCAAGGTGGACCGCTGGACCAGTTGAACGTGTCCGCTTGCCCCAGAGTTAAAGGAAGCAGGAACGCCGCGCAGGAGAGAATCAGATCTTGGAAAAGTTACACGGAGAGTTTAAAGAAGTTCCTTTTTGGCAGACAAACTGCTTGTCTGTAGGTTCTGGAAGGAAGGATCTCTAGCAAGGATCAGCGATCTGGAAATCTTCAGATTTAATTACGTCCAACCCTGGTATCACCATAGTCAGGAACGCTGAGCCCTGTAACTCCGGCATTGTGAAAGTCAAGAAATCATGATTCTGCTGTTTATTTTTTTAAAAATGGGGATGGGAGAAGGGCTCCCCATCCCATTGGCCTGTTTCCAACCCTCCGAACGAGTGGACATGGCCGTGGTTTGGATTTTGAGTTTGTCGTTCCTCTCCGTCTTCGAGTCGTTTCTGACGTAGCACGTTGGGAACGCCATAAAAAGTCCCTTGCTCAGTCCTCCTTGGCTGACTCGACCTCGTGGCTTCCGTCGTTGAGCCGGTCCCTCTCGGATTCAACCTTCCTCTTCTCCTGCTGCCTGCCACTTCTCCCGAGAGACCCAATGTTCGGAGGGGACGACCAAGAAAAGGAAGGCAGAGATTCCCAGAAGCAACCAGCAAGTGTGTGTTTTAGAAAAAGGAAAAAGAAAAGGGGGGTGGAGGTGACTTTAATGGTAGATCACCCCAAATACCGTCCTGGCCAGACGCTTGTGGGGAAAAAAAGCATCCGGGGGCGGCTGGGTGTTTGTTTTTTTGCTCCTTGCTTCTTTTTTTCCTTCTGAGGTTTCTGGATTCCTGTTTATACAGCTCGCATGTCACGGAGCAGAACCCAGGAGGCCCAGCGGGCTGTTTCGGGAGGCAGAACAGAAGAACAGGCTTGGAAATCAAACAGATGCAAGACTGGCCCGGAAATCGGAGCCACCGAAAATTTAAACCAGAGCATCAGCCTTCGGGGGGGGGGAACGGGACTCGGAAGGGTTGTCCGCTACGAAACGTTTCCGTGTTGTAAATAAAAAGGAACTGTTTGGCCTGCATTTTGCACTGACCCTCCAATTTATTTTATTTTATTTATTCATATATTTATTTATTCAGAATATTTTTACCCCGCCTTTCTCCTCAAAGAAGACCCAAGGCAGTTTACATTATGAAAAGGCGTTTAAACCTTTAAAAACAAAACAGTGTACACCTTCAAGAAAGGGTCAAACGCCACACCACACCACAGTAAACAGACACAAAACCCCAAAACACACATTCAGATTGTCTCTAGCAAAGACCTGCACGGGGAGGGGGGGGGAAGCAGCTTTACGATGCCCGAGGCTGCTTTACAGCATACTGCTCCTGAACAGGGAGGTTCCACATGGCCATGTTGGTCTTGTTACTTAAGACCACTCCCGAAAGCCAGAGTCAGCCTCTTACAAGAGGTTCCTTGGCGTGATCGTTAACCGTCGGCTTGCTTAATTATCCACTGGTTCTTCTGATTCCGGTCCTTCCAGACGTCCCGTAAGACGAAAGGAAATGCAAACGGGCCCACCATGTCACAAAAAGGGACCAAAAAAAAAAAATCTTCAAAAAAAGTCACGCTGTCTCTTGGGTTTGTTGCGATTCCCTTCGCTTGAAGCACGACAGCCGGGCCTCTCTCCGCGCCAAAGCCCTCTGTTCTGCCTCTCCACCCTCCGTCCTTGAAGTGGTTTGTCTGGAAAGCAAATTAACTGACATTCAGACGGGTCTTCTGCATCTGCCAGCATCTGCCGCACAGCTGTTCTGGTGCCAGTGAAGCTGAGGGTGGGCCAAGCGAGGATTTGGGCTGGGGGAGAATCGTTCAGCGGGGTTTTATGGCCAGCCTGGACGTAGAGGCGCTCGTCTCGACCCCACAAAGGGAGTTCAGAAATGCCTTGGAGCGCTCGTGATTCCTGTTAGCAATTCGGAACCGAAGGTTTTCCTTTCCAAACAAGAGCAGCTCTTTTGTCAGGTTAATGGGACTTAACTACTCTTTCCAGGCCAAGCGAACCCAAAGCGCTGTAGATCACGACCAGTCCAGGCACCTCCTGTTTTGTTCTAAATGGACCTGAGCCTGACGCAGAGGTTCTTGAAATCTTACGAGTATTAAACTAATGGATATTCTTTCCAAAAAAATATATTCAGTCAAATGTTTCTGGAAGCACATAAGCTGGGAGCAATGGGAGCAGCAGGAGTCCCGGCTGATGCAGGGAAACCGGGTGCGTAGCATTTTGTGCTTTTGGGACCCACAATGGGCACCCCATTTGGCAACCGCACAGTGAAGGCTGGCGAATCCCTTTTCGGAGGGACCACGCATCCAGTCCAGATTTTAGTCCAGACTTCAAAAGATCCATCTGAAGAGGTGAAACTATTTGAGGGATGAGGTTCAGCACTTGGATAACACCCGTAAAGCGGGTAACAAAACATGGAGAGGACTCACCGCCCCTGTGAAACAGGAGCCAGCCGCCCCTCCTGTTCAGCCTGATCTCCCCCACGGGGCTGCTGTGAGAACAGCGTAAGGAGGGGAGGAGAGAGAGCCACATACGAAACCCTGAACTCATCAGAGGGAGAGGAAGGACATTCGTGTCCCTATTTTAAATTATAAACTAGCACCAAGGCAGCTTCCTGTTTGAACAGGAAGTGAGGCCACCATCGGAGCTAGGCCTGGAAAGCTAGGCCTTTACCCCAGACGAGCAAAATGTAGGTGCCTCTAGGTCTGGGCTTGTCAACTCCCAGAAGGAAGGCTAAGAAACTAGAAGTTGCAAAGATACAACACCCAGAACAAAATCTAATTGAGGAAAAATGCACAAATAATAACCCATTGTTCAGCAGTTTTTCTCCCCCAGTAGGCTCTGTGTACATCTAATTTTGCAACCGTCATGGGAGTAGCCCTGCCAGGGGGGCCGTGCTGGGGGTGGTGGTAAGGGGTTGTGATTATAATTGCATTAGTGAATAGGTTGCTGCTCCCCTTCCACCCCCATATATGAGATGCACCACGAATCAGCATCCAGACCATGCTTTTCATTCCTGCTCAGGGGAAACGAGGAGTAAATTTACTTCCATTTCGCTCCAGTGAGTATCTTGGGTTTAAAATTAAACTGACACGCGGAGGTCAGCTGCAGGGGATTAAGAAGGCTCAAGAAACCCACCCTGACCCACTCTCTGGCTGTCTACGTAGAGTTGTCGGAAGCAGCGGGCGCTTGTCTGGACTTTGGACTTAGGAGGAAATCTGGAATGCATTGTGGCATGAATTTTCAAAAAGCCAACACACACGCACACACACACACATCAAAGCAGCTCCAGCCTTAAAGGACCCCCATCAAAATATGCAGAAGGAAGTGGAACGCAGAGGCAACCGCGGGCCGGGTTTGGCAGCCGAAGGGAAGGCCATTCGCGGCCGCGGCTCGAACAAAGACCTGGGGGTAGGAAAGACTACATCTTCCCAGCTTGATCCCTTTACAAGCCTGCTGGCCACCTGGGGTTCAGAAAGGCTAGTCTCCAGTTGCTCCGACAGGTGCCGGTTTCAGCGTTTGTAATAACATCCCCGCGACGCACTCAAGAAAAGCCACTTTCTTCCCCCAGCAAGGTGATATCCCGGTGGGACCCAACGCAAGCCTTCACCGCACGAACCGAAACAGTGACATTTGCCCAGTTGGATATTTTAGTAAGAAAAAGAAGAAACTCCACTTCCACTGAACCTCAAGACGTTCCCGACTTCATCTGATTTAGCAAGCTGAGGAGGGCTCCTCTCCTTAAAACTACTTTTGCAAACATTATGGAGACGCCCACAAGCTTATAAACAGTCCCGCAGCTGTCTAACAATGCCACCCTCTAGCCACTGAGCAATCCTGTTGCAGCTGAAAGCAGCAAGAGTCTTCAGTCCTTCAAGATGAATAAGGTTTCTTTGGCACAGATTTTCACAGAGGGAGGCCCGCTTCTTTGGACGCAAAGGGGGCAGTGTTCCACAGAGGCTTACCCCAGAGAAAACTTCAGTTTTTAAAGTGTAGCTGTGAAGAAATTGAGAGCACTGGGTGGATGAAATATGAAATACAGTTGCTGGCCTCTTCTAGGCTTCTGTGAGCCTGGGTAAGCTGACCTTGCAGGCAGAGATCTGGATGGGAGGACAGTTCACACCTTCAGCTTATCTCCTGCTGTTGATTACTTCAAAGGAAGAACAGAGGAAGAGAGCAGAAGTTTCCATTCTTAACTTTACTAGACACCTCAAGGTAAAGGTAAAGATCCCCCTTGACATTTAGTCCAGTCGTGTTAGACTCTAGGGCGCGGTGCTCATCCTCATTTCCAAGCCATAGAGCCAGCATTTGTCCGAAGACTCTACCTAATTCCTTCCAGAGAGTTATGTAGATTTGGGCAATCGGAATGGCGTCCGATCAAGAATCGGCCTTTTGTCCTGGCAGCGCATGAAAGGCACTGGATATGTGTGGGCCACAGGCACTCTTGCGTTCTTACAAAACTTTGGGGGCCATTCATTGACAAAAGACTGCTAAATATAGGGAAGTGGGAAAGGAATATTAAAATTACAAACACATGGGGGTGGTGGTCGGGCTGGGAACATGGTTTCTGCCTTGCTCAGTTCTGTTGGTGTTCCAAATGACATTAATTGGGGGCAGCTTCGGAAACCATGCAAGGGAAAATCGTCTTTGTGCTAACCACGGATGAGCTCATAAGAAATCTGTTTCTCAGGCTAGTGGCCACCGATTCGACTGAAGGCAGAGCAATGATGCAGATATAGGTAAGCAAATAATTCAACCCTAGCCATTTCTGCTGGAAGGAAAGATGATTTTACAAAAGGGGGAATGAGCAAATAGACTCAGAAAATGTGCAAGCCACCCAGTTTCACAACACGTTGTGGGGGAAATCCTTTCCCACAGAAGGCAATCGAGGCCCATTTTAAAGCTGAAAGGAAAGGGTGCAGGGGGAAATGGAAAAGGAGCCCAACGCTCTCCGAACCACCGCGGACCACTTACTCATGCTCAGCCCCTGCAACGCCAGCTGGAGAGGGCCATGTGGCTCTGAAGGATTATTACTCACTCTGGAAATTGAAATGCACAACGAAACAGTGGCAGGTTAACTCCTGAGTGTCAGCTGCTCTGCCCGGTGCTTCGGACACCCAGAGGTTTTACAGAAGGCAATGACTGAGGCCCCCCGGGGGAGAATCTCGAATGCGAAAGACGCCTAGAGGAAACCTTCCCTTAGCCTGATGGGAATTCAGCCTTCCCAGAATCTTGGCCTCACACAAGGGAGGGACAACAGCTTGTATCATCCCCAGTAACTCTGGGCAGGGAGGATGGGAGGTGTAGTACAACACCTCCAGGTTTATTCTGCAACCACTGTTCAGTGGAGCAGTTTTGCATCCTCTCACATAGACCCTCAGGACCAGATTCTTTGTTACAGGCAACCCGTTGTTGGAAAAAGCAAGTTCCCAAAGTGCTGATGGGGTGTGATTGTCACAGCGGGAGTTTTCCTCACCTCTCAGCGCTTGCAGAGCAACTTGCTTGGTTTTGTGATCGGCCTGCAGGACATAAGCATGGTTGTCTTTTGCTTTCTCAGACCTGGAAGTCTGGCCTCCGTCACATCTCTCAAACACAAACATAATTTCACTTCTAGCAAGCAATGTAAAGTCTAACCCTCAACGACCATGAGAACATTTTTCTGTCCGTGTCACTTGGCTCACTTACTGGAGCCACCTGTTTTGTGCTGCACATTCTTTTCCTTTTCTCTGCATGTCTCTGATTATCAGCACTGGGGGGAGGGGTGTCTCCAAACCAGGAGGTCAATTCAGGTTCATACCTATTGGAGTGACTGATGCTTAGCCTCCCAAGAGTATACCATTAGTTTTCAGCATTTGCTTTTTCTGGAGACCAAAATAATAAGAAACAAGGCACTGAAATTGGAGACAGTGCCCCAGAGACGAGGCAAGGTGGCTTCCATGCCAGTGGGGCAGGAAATCTGCTTTGTTTTTTAGTCCAAACCTTACCGTAAAGTCAAAAATAACCCTGGCATATTGGATTACTCCTTTAAAGTTCAGATGAAAAACAGGAGCGGATTCCTCGACTCCTTCCCCCCACCCAACCAACCTCAGAGCCTCTGGGGGCCCTAAGAAGCCCAAAGGCCTTTCTCTTTGCCTTGCAGAAGCAAGCCTGGTGGTGTAATGGCGGGTGAACCCGGGTGGCAACCTTTTCACCCTCTCAGTGCCGGGAGCAACATTCGAACTGTGTCAGGATGAACGGCCAAAACAAAAAGGCCTTCCTCGTCTGTCAGTCTCCCCTCTGGCTCAAGCAAGGCTGGGATCAGATCTACCTTTTCTCCTTCCCACAGAACCCATCAGTCTGGTGGCTTCTCCCCATCTCTCCTAAAACCAATCCGAAACCAAATCCAAATTGAAATCCAAATGCTTTAAAAAAAAACTTTTCATGACTGGCCAAGGTTACCTTCCTCCTCATTCTTCTCCCTCTTTCGGCTCACATTTTACCCCTGCTGGTTTTTCGTGCTTGGAAACGACTCTTTTTGCAGACTACAACGCCCGGGAGCCGCTCCGGTTTTTCTCCCGAACTTTAAAGGAGCAACCCAAAGCCCAGGAGGCTCAAATTGCCTCTAAAAGCCGCCCTTTCCAAATGCTGATCCTAACTGAGCCCAAATCAACATCCCGGCTCTCGTCATCATCACCCACACAATCCAGCCTCTGCATTCCACCCAGAAGGATGCTTTTCAGATATGTATATGTGTGTGTGTGTGTGAGAGAGAGAAAGAGAGACAAGAAACACACATGATCCTTCATCATCCCAATTCTGAGCCCAGGAAGGTGAAAAGAGACCATTCAGGGGCAATTAAATCCCTGTTAAATTGCCCAAAACACCCCTCAAGCGTTCGGATTTGTGAGGTCTACTTGGCCAAGTTTCCCCGAATGCGGTGTAAAGGTTCACCTTTAAAAAAAACTGTTTTATTTCTTTAAAAAACCCCAACGGTGAAGTCTAAGAAAATCATGATTTGCCTCCTTTCCCCAAAATCTAAACGGCACCCTGCTTCTTGCAGCCAAGAATCCCTCCTGGCACGGATCCTCTCATGCAGGATTTTATCCCCCCCATTCCCTTCTCACACGAAGCACCCAGACCTCAAAAAAACGCTCCTCTTGCCCCGGCTGTCAACAAGACCTTGAGGGAAGAGGGAACAGGAAAAACCTGGGTCCCCCCCCCTTGCAATCGCCTGCCCCGAACAGATCATTCACCCTCAATTTAAGAGAGCTTGGGGGGAGAGGTTTGAGTTGGTCTCCATGGATCGAAGGCCACCACGTCTCCCCCAAAAGGTCACCTGGAGGAACCTCTTCGTAGCCTGGAATCGGGTGCGAGGGAAATGCCAGCGGACCCGAACCCCGAACCATCTGCAGAAGGTGCTGACTAAAAGTTTGCCCCCGGATCCTTTGACCCCAGGGCTCTGCCAGCTGCCTCCCTCTCGGGAAGCATCTCGTTGCCTTCGCTTCGGCGCACTGCTTGGCACTGGTGACCCCCACCCCCCACCCTGGTGGTCCTCCTCCCCCTTGACTCCGTGTTGGTCCTCCTTACCTGAGCTTCCTCCCCATCTCTTTCAGGGGTCCGGCCGCATCCTTCTCCTCATCTCAGGGCTTCCCTTCGGGGCATCTCCGGCCTCCCCGAAGGGGTGTCTGACCCTCTAGCGACCGGTCAGGGCTCGGATCCGGCCAGCGCTGGCCCAAATTCCCTCTCGGTCCATCCAGGTCAGGGGGACCTCTCCAGGACGATGTGCCCGGGGTCTGTGTGATCAGAGCCACGAGGCCTCCTTATGGTCCAGCAAATGCCCTGGGGGTACCAGATGGGGGGGTCCCTGGAAAATCCGCTGTCACTGCAGAGAGAGAGAGAGAGAGAGAGACAAGGCCTCCTTGTGGTCCAGCAACTGCCCTGGGGGCACAAGATGGGGGTCCATGGAAAATCCACTGTCACTGCAGAGAGAGAGAGAGACCCCCCCCTTCGGTCCTTGGAGATGCGCACCGGCTCTTCTGTGCTGTCACGGCCACCTTTCCGGAGCTGTCTCTCCTCCAGAAAAGGTGGTCATGATGGCCACGTCTGGCCGTACCAATCGGCCAAGGAGGTCTTCTTGCCCTTGGATGCAGTCCCAAACTGCCCGGGGAGGTTGTTTTTCTGGCTCCTCTGACTTCACATCTCTCTCAGGCTGGCTCTCTCTGGCACTCTCTCTCTCTCTCCCCCTCTCCTTCTATCTCTCCCTCGCTCTCACACACGGCTGCTGCTGCTGCTGTAGCTCCACCACGCAGCAAACAGGCCTCTAGTATATCCTACCGCTTAACTCCTTAACTGCCATCATCCTGCTGCCTCTGGCCAAGAGCTGACGGCCAGTTCCATCTCTCGCCGGCGTCCCTCCCGTTTCTTTTTCCAAGCCCCCTACGGAGATTCCCAAAGGGGGTCGGGGAATTTTAATTTTTAATATTTTTTTCCTCTTTTGCAAAAGCAGTCCACGGGGATCCCAGGTTTGCCCGCTCTACTGGAACCAAACGTCCAGGGACAGATGGCTTCGCGATCCGGGCAAGGGCCGTTCCGTGTGCCGTGGTCTGCGGTGGGGCTACTTCACGCAGGGCATGCCAAACTTTAAAACAGTCTCTGCCCCGCTGAGCTTACAGTGTGAAATCTTAACCCAGAGAGGCACAACGCTGAGGAGGTTTGGAAAACATAGATGCCTTGGGAGGGGAGGGGAAGAAATCTCCTTAAGCAGAGGAGAAGAGAAGCCCTCAATAAATTTTTATAGCTGTCGTCCGAAATGATAATTTTCCCAAGCGGGACTTGAGAGCGAGACACCCACCTCGCGATGGCTCCTAAGGCGGCCGATGGTGTCCTATTCTTTTTTTTAAGGCAGCCCAAACAATAATCTGAGAAATAACAGAGGCTGGAAAGGGACCCTCTGGAATTATCGAGTCCAGCCTCTGTCAAGGAGGCCCGGGGGGGGGTAATTCGAACTCCGAACCCCAGGCTCTGCAGCCAGAGATCTAAACCACTGAGCTATCCGGCAGCTCTGATATAAAGAGAAAACCTTAAGAAGAACAATCAGGGGCCTGGGCATTCACTCCCCGGACTCAGCACCTGCAACACGATTTGTCCCATCCCCATCTTCCTCCTTCAGGTGAGACAGAATTGTGCAAAAAAGAAAAAGTCCTGATTTGGCTTCTTCTGCACACTTTCCTCTGTTTTTTCCCCCTCCTTTTTCTTTCCGGAGCTCCAAGCGGCCACCTTGGTTGCTATAACAGCAGGCGGTTGCCGGAGGTCTGCGTAACGCTGAGCTACCCCGTTCCCTGTATTTGGATTCTGTTCAGCAGTTCTTCTCCTTACATAAGGATGATGATCCATCAAAATAAGTTCCTGCCGGCTTCCTTCGCCCACACCTTTTAAAACGGCTCGTGCTTTTATTCCGCTTTGCCTTCTCGTTCCCTTCTTCCCAGAAGAAGGAAAAGCGAACCCTTTTCTTTGCTCCCAAAGGCCGTGATGAGCCTCCCTCCTGTTTTGACTAAACCCTGCCATCCCGGTTTGCCTCTTATCTATACGTTGTGCAAAAACGCAAGGTACTAGTCCTCATGGCTGAAAGGAGAGGTTTTGAGGTGCCTAAGGTGAACATGCATAGGTTACTCCAAAAAATGGAGATATATCATGGAAAAAGAAGATAAAGGAGGGTTTCTATGAACTTCTGGATGATCCTTTATGTATGCAGATGAAAAACTAGAGGAGTTTTTTATACCTTCAGAGGAATTACAAGGCCCCTCGCCTGAGAGGTGAAGGTGTCTGCCAAGTCCACTATCCAGGGGCTGATCACTGTGGATGATGAGCAGCTTTGCGGTTTGCTTTCTAGTGGTTCTTGGCTTCTACATCAAATTTAAATTTAAAGGGTTTTTTTGGGGGGGTGGAAGCAGTACTTTCAAAAAAAATGTACAAGGTCCAGAAGAGGACCGGCCTCTCTAAAAGATGATGTGTTGGCCACCTGAACAACCTGCTTTTGTGAGTTGCAAAATGATTGTCGTAATAATCCTAGAAACAGGGGTCTGATAGATTGTGAGGGTCAGGCTGGGGGATGTGGGGAAGCTGAGCTTGATCTCCGGAAGGGCATGCGGTGGATCAGGCCCGGAGGGGCAGGATGCAGATGGAGGGAATAAGAGCAGGGGAACCTGCTTCTATAGTCCCCCAAACAGCAGAGGTGGGCGACTCAGTGGATCTGCTCCGGGTTTTTTATTTATTTATTTATTTATTTATTTAGTTAGTTAGTTAGTTAGTTAGTTAGTTAGTTAGTTAGTTAGTTAGTTAGTTAGTATCCTGCCCATCTGGTCTGGTCGACCAGGCACTACCCAGGGTGTGGAGGGCTACCTCCAATCTCCGTTCAGCACCTCGGATAGCTCTTTTTAATAAAGCTCAGAGTAAAACCCGGTGCACATTCATTGCCCGCATGGAATCGGAGTCCATTCGCTTCTACAGTATCTCTAGATTTCCTGCGCAAAACACGCAGGAATTGGGTTGTACCAAGGACAACCCCGGGCAGATGAATGGATTAAAGCCATATTGTAGGATCACAAGCTATTTCCTCCATTCGAGCTATGGACGCTTGAAGTTATTCTCCTTCAAGCTGTTGGCAGCTGAAACATCATTAAGAAAAGGAGGTGGGGAGAGAGAGAGAGATGAAAAACATCATCCGAAATGCATGAGGCACATTCAAGAGTCCTGGAACCTCGCCGAGGCTCTTACTCGCTGGGAGAGGCTGCGTTGGGTTGACCTCTGCCACCCGCTTTTCCTTCTCATCAGATTCTGTTTAATTGAGTGACCGCCTAACAGCCCCCTCCGTAAAAGGGATATGCCTTTAATCGGCTCCGCAGAGACACCTGTCTGCCCAGACGAGGGGATTACTCGGGCCGTAATGCCGGCGCCCTCCGCCCTTTCGCAAAGTGTCAGCCTGAGACCTCTCAGCATCCTGAAACGGGCATTAATTAATTAAGTTCTGAACTGCCCTTTGCCAAGAACGGACATGTCTCGGCTGCTAAGAAGAGACGCTGCCACCGGCGGGCGTTTGAAAAGGACGGGACCAAGGTCGCGCAGGGAGTTGGTGGCAGCAGATTCGAAAACCATAATGATGGAAGAAGACCAGAACTCCCTCACCCTCAGCTTCAACTGATCCCCGGGTTTTGGGGGGTTGCAATTGTTGAGTTGAATAAGAGATTCCTTTTAAGATAAACCAGTGGGGGGGTGCCTTAAAGATGTGGCGCTCAGGAATCAAACGTCATAATCTGTGCCCACGTTTGCCTTCCAGGAACTCATCACAAAGTGGAGCATGCTAAATGCAAGATACGGAGGTGAGGAAAATCATGTTCTGTAACAGGCCTCTTCTATCACCGCCAAGAGCAAAGGATCATGGGATTCGTAGTCCAGGCCTGTGCTCAGCTCTCGTTCTTGGTTACAGCATGGATGTAAACATAAAATAAAACTACAGCATCCCTTTTGTCCCCTCTTCGGGGACCACACAGAAGATGGAAAAACCTTTCAAGTCCACCTGCTCATTGGCGGGGGGGGGGGGATGGCTGCTTTCTCCCCTACTAACGGCTATTGTTTCAGCCATGGGAGGGTGAAAAGCCCCAGGAGAACCTGGTGGATTAATGCCAGCAGCAAGAGGATTAAAAGATTAAGAGCCAGGAACACAGAGAAGGCCTGCTGGTGGGAAAGGGAGGTATTTCCTCCTTTCAGATTGGGCCTTTTTTAAAAAAAAATTTGTTCCCAAAAGAAGGAATAAATGTTTTCAAGCAGGGGGGAAGTTCCTATCTCTCCATTTTGCCTAGAAAATGAAACTCCACGTTTCAGGCTCCTGGCATAACACATTTTTATTTTATGTATTTTTTACAACGCCCAGTTCCCCGGCCAAAGTAAAGAAGGAATTCTGGAAGTCGTAGTCCCCAAAGCTAACTTTTCTTGTGGAAAGCAGCATGAAAGCGAGGTTGATCTCTTGTCTGCCGAGGACACACACACACACACCGGTCCCACCTCCTCTTCTGCTCCAAGATCAGCTGCGTTTAAATGGCAAATTGACTGCACACCTTTTACAACGCCCAGTTCCCCGGCCAAAGTAAAGAAGGAATTCTGGAAGTCGTAGTCCCCAAAGCTAACTTTTCTTGTGGAAAGCAGCATGAAAGCGAGGTTGATCTCTTGTCTGCCGAGGACACACACACACACACCGGTCCCACCTCCTCTTCTGCTCCAAGATCAGCTGCGTTTAAATGGCAAATTGACTGCACACCTCACCTCCTACCTCCTCTTCCGCTGCAAGATCAGCCGCGTTTAAATGGCAAATTGACTGCACACCTCCTTCCATCTTTATAGTTCCAGATCTTCAACACATTACTTTGTGAGAAGGGATAACAGACCCCAGAATTCCCCCCCACAGCATGGCCACCAACCTCTTGCAATCCAGGTTGACCAGATTCCGTGAAGAATTCCCAAAGTTATGGGAATTTTGCTTTTTTGTTTGATGCCATGCTCAAAAATCTCTCCATGGATTTTTTTTTGTTTTGGACTACAACTACCAGAATCCCCAGCTCTCTCCATGGATTTTTTTTGTTTTGGGGACTACAACTACCAGAATCCCCAGCCACAGAGGCCTTCAGAAGACCCTACCGAGAAGGGACGCCAATGCAAAGAAAACCGAAATCTCCCCAGGCGGGTGAGATCCAAAACGTTTTGTCGCTTTTTTGAGGGCTTTCCAGGGAATGGATTCGTTCTTCCACCTTATGCAACTGTAAGAATCAATATTCCGATTTGCGCCCCCGGGAAGAGGCCGGCCGCCTACGTGGCCAGATCATGTGCTGCTCGCTCTTGCGGGACCCCGTCTCT